TTTTGGGGGGGGGGGGGGTTTTTTTTTCCTGAAGCCTTGGACCTAAAAATTAGGAAAACTGTTAAATAAGTCACCATCTCCCAGCACAAGGAGCTAGTGACACAAATAGTAACAGGTGGCCATCCCTTTTTGGGTTACTGAATCATTCACAGGCCAATCCCAATTTTCTCTGCATCTTCTCATTCAATAACTTTACTCACAGGCTTTTTTGTGGGAGGGTTGTTGTGTTCAGAAAACCACATTCTGCTATTTCATATTCAGATCTTGTGGTTTGTCCTCTTTAGAGACACTGGGTGGTACAGGATTTTACTCTGCACCTCTGTTAAGGACACGCATTCTCTCATTTGTATTTCAGCAGGGCATTAGAGGCTTTCCACTGTTGAACTTCAGTGAGTTCAACAGGCTTTTATGGAAACACTATCCTTGCCCAAAATAACAAAATCTTGAAAAAAGAAACATTTAGCTGCTATTAGTTTACTATTAATCTAGCTCAGATTCTGATACAGGATCTAAATGTTATATATGAAATACAATGTTGCAGATAAAAATTATCTACAGTAACACCAAAGTTGCACATAGCTAAAATGAAGCCTTTGATCTTTGTTATAACCAGCAGACAACCTTATTCTGCCCCAAAAGTCCAGAATGACTCATAATCAAAACCGATCACTTTTAATGTTATACTTAAGGACCTACTAAAATATATTGTTTTGAAATAGATCAATTTGACTTCATAGTATTCCTTTTTTAGCCTCAGTTCCATAGCGGTTTTGTGTAACTATTATCAAACACCTTTGCTAACAGACAGAGTTCTCTCAACACAAGTTCTCTCTACAAGAATACAAGAAGAAAATAAATAAGATCTTTAAAAAAAAATTAAGTTTGTGCAAACATTTAATTTACATTACAGAATTCTCTGCAATAATATTTCAAGCCAGCACTGCCATTGCACACATTTAGGAGGTTCTCTCTTGGGAAATCAGAAGTCCAATTAATTGAAAAATGAGTGGGACAGAGACCCGCACCCAACTTACTCTTATAAAGAGTTTTTCTCGACAGAATTTCCTCAATGACATCTGTTTTGGTGTTGTCTGATCTCACTGCTTGCATAATAAAAAAAAAATTAACAACTGAAAATATTATCATACAGTCTGCACTGTTGGGATTTTTAGGACTATATACAAAACAGCATGGTTTTGTTGTCATCTTTTGTTTTCTTACAAAGGAGTTCTGGTTATGAAACGCTGTTTCCATTTCAGCTTTTAAAAAAAGTAGTTTATAAAAAGAAACAATTAAAAAATCAGTCATGTATGCAGAGCTCAAGATCTCAGAAGCACAGCATCATTATGCACAGTTCTAGTTTTTATATGGTAACTAGTTGTTTAAGAATGAAGAACACAAGAAAACCAAACCAAAACAAAAATTATCTCTGCCGGGTCCTTTCTGCTACTGAAATCCACGCAGAATAATTTCTTAAGTCTCGCATAGTTTAGCATTTAGTTCTTCTTCACTCTTCCTTGTCCCATTCACCCCCTCCCCTTTTTCGTTCATCAGCCAGAGTCTAAATGTTACAGTCAACATTTAGATTTTAGATACCTTTGAGGACAGAATTTATTGTCTTGCTTGGCTGTATAGCATCAGGAATAGCAACATCACTTCACAGCAAAAATAGCTCCCCCCCCCCCAAGTGTTTTGTGGACAATATGTATTGCAGAACAGCAGCTTTAGACCCTATAATGTGCCAGTAGCATGAAGGTACAGCAGAATTTAAAAATATGTACTAGTTTAAAAAAAAAAAAAAAAAATTGCCCAGCCAAGCAAGCATGTTTCATGGAATATTGCTTCTATGTTTACAAGAGTAACTGAGAACATGGAAGAGCAGAAGCAGTATCAGCACAAGTAAACGTACAAGATCAGAAGGGCAAAGCAGTCTGGATGGTTGTGCTATCCACATGATCTTAGTGCAGTGCTATCTACTGGGCAGAGGCTTTCAGCATTTCTCAGGTGAGAGGGGACCTTTATTGTCAAAATAACTTCGGGAACATTTTTAGTCACACAGTTTCTGTGGACTCAAGATAGGATTGCCTTTGCTGTCACCATCTTCAATACATGAATATGCACTTCCCGCGCACACAACCTCAAGTAGGCAGGTTTCAGCAGTGCCTGGCAAACAGTTTTATACACACATCTCTGAGTAAAAAGCACTTAGCACTATTTGAAAAAACCTTTTGCACCTCTTTTTCTGTACAACTCTTCACAGAAAAGTCACTTCAGAAAACTGCACTAAACCTCCCATCTTGTTAGAGAGAAAATGCACTGCAGTGCCAGAAGACAGAGGATGCACACGCACCAGCATACCCTGAGCCAGTTACACACTAATTAATATCTGCCTCAGGTAATAAAGTTCTGAAAGAAACAGCCATACTTGTTAAATACCTTAATAGTCTCAGGAAGGTTAAAGTGCTGTCTTTTCTCCTTTAATCGTCTCAATACACTATCCATGGTTTCTTCTACTGAGGGAGCTGGTTCCATGCTTGTGGCCTCCTGTGTCCCAGCCTCTTTAGAGGTCCCAGTGTTTTCGCAATGATCATTTCTTTGGGGTGCTCTAGAGGTACAGTTTTGCTCTTCCGACATTCTGAGTTTCAGCTCTGAAAGGCAAATTACTTGGCAAGTAAATAGATGAGAAATGTTTGCAAAGGAGTTTCCTCTGACACTACAAGAAAAAAAATCCCTACTTCTTGCTTACAGTTATTATCATACCACAGTTGTGTAGGAAAGTAACTCCGCTTCAGGTCAACATGTCACATCTTTTACCTGGTTAAAGGGTTATCTAATGGTGAATGGATGAGATGTGTCCACGCCAATGAAACTTATAGCACATATGTACTTCTCTTTTTCCTCCAAGCCTATCTTTGACATAAAAGGTGAGGACTGAAGAGGCACTGGGTTAAAGAGTGGGGTCTGGGTAGGAGTCAGTGCAGAATTTCGGTGGGAATGAGGTTAGGAAAGGGGTTTAAAAGGACAAACAGCACTTCAGAATATTTGTGGGAGGTTTGGCAGGGGGGAGGGATATGGAAGCAGAGCTTGCTCTCTCCCCCTTCTCCTCAATAAACCCATGCACTCTCAATTGATTTGATGTCTGGTGTAAGTAAGAACATGTCCAAGCCTGCTGTGGGGATTGTTTTCTAAGGATGCAGCCCTTCACAGATGCCTTCCTGGACAAGAGGCGGTGTCTCTGCAGCCCCCTGCCCCACTCTCATCCCAGCTGTGCTTGCCTGCCCTCCTGTGCTGCTGCGCAAGTGAGGAGGAGAGTGAAGGCCCTCTCCTGAGAAGGGCTGGGGAGGCTAAGCTGTGCTACAGAGCCCGGTGTGCCAGCTGCCAGGCTGCTGAAGCCAGGTACTCCAAGTCTGCATAACCAACCCCACTCTTCTTTAGTGCAATTTAAACCATAACCCTCCCTTCCAGAAGCTGCATTGCCATCCCAGCCAGGCTGCTGAGCTGGTCCTCGCAAGGAGAATCAGCCACTTTGCTTAAATGACTTCCCTTGGCAGAAAAGCACCTGAGCTACCCAGCAGAAGTCATACAGGTTACAGTGTGTCCTAGCTTCCCAGTCAGCAACCTGCCTGGATGCAATAAAGTGTGTAAGTATGTTAGCTTGACACCAAGCCAAAGACCCTGGAGCTCCACGGACCTGCACAGAGCAACAAGGAAATTGAATTGGGGTCTGAATTAGCTCCCTTAAAACCAGGCTTTGTTCCTAGCATATGCCTGGCTGGTGAAGGCCCTTGGCCAAAGCAGGAAATTGATGGCTCCAAATGTGTTAAATTTATTGAAATCCATGCAGAAACAGTAACATAATTTTTTTAGCTGTGACAGTCTGAGGATACAGGACAGGTTTGCAGGGAAACCCAGTAACTTTCAGTTAACACATAGAGCTAGGAAGGATGGACAAGCCTTATGAACTTGAAGAAGGACGTACAAGCACATGAGCATTTTTCCATTTCAGTTGCACCTGTCTGGTGAACCTCATGAATCAGTTAAAAGCAGTGTCATTACTCAGTATAGTAAAATCAAGGGTGTTCACGGGGTCGAGGCATTTTGGGTGTGAAGGTGAGGCTGATCTATGAAAGCTAGACACCCTGGCTAGCTGAAGCAATGGTTGAGCCAGAGCAATAATTTTCAGAAAGTTATCTGCGTAGTTTGACCATTTCCTCTCATTTGTCCTTCCTGGATTTGTAACACAACGTTCAAGGGAAAAAAAATAGTAATAATCTAGTAATCATGCAGCGTAGTATTTAGAGAACTTTCCAGACTAAATTTACTGAAAGATGAATTTGTAATTCTTGATTTACCACAGTCTCACCCTTTATATCCACATTCTTAACTATATCCAAAACAGAGAGGAAAGATAATACTACAATTTAATTAGTAGTGAGAATCCATTTATAATGGGGGAAAAAATGGTTTAGATAAATTATAAATAGCCTTTAAAAAAGAAATCAATCAGTCTTGGCTATATTTTCCCTGAGGGTAAGCATGTGATACACATACAGACATTAATGGAGTGGTATGCAGACAGTCAAGGGCAAAACTTGACCCTCAAGACCAAATCTAATATCAGGGAAAGATCTGTTTTTATGATCAAAAAAATAAAAGCTTTAGAGTTGTGTAACCTCAGTCCTAAAGAAACATTTTTCACCTACATTTGTACTATTACAAGGACACTTCTAATTTTGTAGTTCTCTATTTCAGACACTCATAAAAATATTCAGAATAACATTGCCTTTTGCATGAATGTTTATAGTGATGAGGGAGACATGATGTCTTTTCCCCCTTCTCCTTTTTAGCCTTGTTATGAGGGTTGAACTGGCTTACTTTAATCCCTGCTTTCAGGAATCAAAGCAAGTCATATCACCTAATGTCTTGTCATTGCGAGACTTATTGTCATGCACTGGGAAAAATAAGCAGAGTGCTGAGGTTAGAAAACTAACTGCAAAATATTTCAGGTACACTCTTACTTCCAAAAGCTTCAGCAATAAAGTGAAACGACATGCTATTATGTACCTTTGAGCTGCTTACGACCTTTGGCCAAATCATTCATCCATTTCAGAACTTCAGGATTGGAAGTCTTGTCACCATGTGAAGGCTGAGTGTAAAGAAAAAAGGAAGAATAAAACAGAAGGAATTGATGGTTATGCAATCAAACAGATAAAAACCTATCCACACACAGTGTGCTAAAAAATGTCTGTAGTTCCAACTGCACTATATCATAGTGTCATGCAGAGCATTTGGCTTAATCATGGTACTAATTTATCATGACTTATCTCTCCCCATTGTGCCACAGTGCTACACAGATCTGAGTATTTTGGCTCTGATCCTAAAAAAACCATCCAAGTCCCTGACTAATTGGGTAAGTAATCTCAGTGACTTCAAAAGGACTGATCAAATACCTAATGTTAGTCAAGTTTCTAAGTGATTTCCAGGGTGGTAACTGAAGCACTCTGTCCCTTGCAGAGATAAGCCCTTACTGCTTTAAGACAGGGATTCTCTTGGAAAACAGCACTTAAAAAATTTCAACTGAACTGCTTAATTAATCAAATGAAAAAATCCTGTGCAACAGAGTGATTTCAAAAGCCACAAACAACAAAATCTTTGCATATCAGTTATTTTTTTGCAATTATAAATTGCCTCAAAATTAAAATCAATTTACACTGGATCTTCAAAACTCAGGTATTTAAAATGGCAAAACAGTTTTGCAAAATTAAGCCTCTGAAATAATTTCTTTTCTGGTCACAGCATGATGACTGTTTAGGTATGATATTTTACTCCTAAGGGTATATGATGACTGTAGAGCAGTACGATTCACAAATGTACATTTCAGTTTGGAGTCATTGATGAGATTATAAGGTAATATACAATTTACTTCATTTTCATTTTAATGTAGTCATAAAATATCACAAATTTCCCTGTTTCATATTGTACACATCCTTAACATTGCAGATGTTTTGATATGCTTATCCCACACGATTCATATAACACAAACTAGCTCAATATGAGCAATGATCTTGCATATACTGCACAGAGCACACTGTTGACCTCAAACACCCCCCCCACCAGAAACACATCACAATTTTTATTTCTGTAATTTCTGCCATCAGCTTCTATTGAGCCCTATGCTTTGGAGGTTTACAGGAGTCTGCCTGAATGAAGGAATCTGCACAGTAGAGCAACAATTTTCAAGCAAATGACTTCTGCAAAGTAAGTAAGTAGCTTTTCATCTTTTGAAGCATTTTAGTTCACAAGCCTGTCAGCTATGTTTCACCGATTCACACTTCTCACATATCTAGAAGATGGATATTTTGCAACAAAGGTAATCCAAAGAAAATGTAAATTAGAGTCTCAGAACTATTGCATACACTGAAAGATGATAAAAAGATTGCTGAAGAAAGATAAAAATGCCTCTTTGATTATTTTCCTATCTCATTTTACCAAAAATACCCTTTCTCCTATTGTTTTGCCTAAGTTTAAATACACCGGGATTCTTGCCTACCTCTTGTAGTATTTCCCTTTGTCTTTTCAATTATTAACTTACCAGGTATTTTTTTTCTTGCTCAAACTTTTCTTCATACTTTCTAATTTTCCTCTTGAGACTCTGAAGATGCTTGGTAAGTTGTGCTACTGTTTGTGGTTCTTTGCACTCTTCACAGTTACATCTAGAAGAACTTCTTGGCCTGCAAAAGCATAGTAGCTGGATCAAATAACTGTCTATATAATGGACCGTGCCTTATTTCAGGCACACTTGACACTTTCCTAGCACTTCAGAATTTGCAGCTAGGTTCCTTTACAGGACAGACAGTTTAGTTTTACAAAGTAAGCATAAAATAATTGCTTTTTGCTTGAAGGTACCCCTAGGCTACTGTCTTTCACTCTCTCTCTTTTTTTTAATTACTTGTGGTATTTCTGAATATTTTTCAGAAGTTTTATCTGGTAGGTCACAACCTGATCCAGTATTTACATTTAACACCCACATCTTACTTCACAAATCTTCCAAATGTAAAGGGAGACTGTAACAACATGATTTGTAAAAGTAAGCTCGGGGAGTTTTTTATTACCTTGAATAAACATTATCATTTTGAAGGCAATTTAGTTTCTGATTTTTTACAATTGCAAATCAATAGATCTGATTATTATTTATATGCAGCTGACAGCTATGTATACAAGCTCTTAAGAAAGTTTGGTTTCTGTCTGAAACCCACAGCTTGGTTTCTGGGGATCACATATATGGTCTGTTCATATGTTCTATGACACTCTTGTATTCATGAATGACTCAAGCTATAGTTCTATTGCAGCTGGAATTTTTAGTATTATACCTTGATAGCACTCCCTATGTTATATTCAGTCATCAGACTAATTACTAACTAACACTTAAAACTGTCCTTACAATATTGTACTGTGTTATGACTGAAAAAACGCTAGATCCTATTTCTGGTATTGCAAACTAACCATGTCAAAATAAGCTACAATATGAAAATTTCTTGTTTATGACATAATAGTAACTGAAAAAAACCACGAAGAATCTAAGACTGTGGATTGTACAAAAATTATTTAAAATATGTAAGAATTAAAATATATTTTCTTACATCATGAAAGGTTGAGCACTTGGTGGAGAAGGGGCAGACTCTGTGTCTAGATTAAATCTCTGGCTTTGGCTAAAGATAGAGCAGCGTGGTGACAAAAGAGGATTGTCTCCATCTGTAATGTGATACAGGAGTCGACTGGTCCCTAGGGAGTGATGTTCTTGTGGGCTGCTGTCCATGTCATTCTGCCAGCCTCTGTGGGCTGGCACAGGCTCTAGAAAGAAAGCATAAACCAATATGGACCGAGGGTCACTCACAAGATATTTAGCTACCTAGATAAATACAAATCTATACTTACAGAAGTATTCAAAGCATAAGTATTCAAAGTAAACAGCAAATAGTTCAGCAAAGTATCACATGCAGGATGAACATAATACTGAGGATGAGAAAATAGAAAGGACAGTTCCCGGCTTAACATAAAGCATTTTTGAGTTCCACAGGAGAAGGTGGATGGGTGTGTTTGTAAACTACGAAGTCTAATATAAAGATGGAGAGTTTCCCAGAATAGTGGCATTAATTATATTTTCATAGATCTGTTTGCTTTCGAAAGCCACATTCCTGAAGACAACAATGAATGTACAAAACAAGTTTAATTTTATGATTTAGCGTTTAGTCCTTTGGTCAAGAGAAAGGCAGATCAAAAATATAATACGTCCTGATGCTAAGAACCTCCAGTGTTGCTTGCAGTATGCTGCGGAGTTTCATTGAGGTTTGAAGTTACATACCCATGGGTCTAAAGAACACAAGATATGAAAATAGCAACAACTAAAAACCTTCAGGTAGTTATTCAAGGTAGTGTGCAGTGACTGCTTGGAGGAGTCATGCTTATGATACTATGTTAATATTGTCTTGGACTATAAATGGAAACCTCACCTCAGGTGCCTCAACAGGTAAAATTTGTTTTATAGAGGTGGTCAAGCTAGAAGAATAATTTATTCTGGACTGACAAAGTAGGAATTGGTGAACCTCATCACACTGATTCTGTTTATGGGTAACATGGTAAACAATGGGCACATTATGGACCCTGCCTCCAGGGAATACCAAGAGCTCATCTTCCCTTTGCTATATCTGGGTACATTAATGGGAAGAACCATTGAATCTTTTTTCCTCACCCTCAGTGGGTAAATTGCGTGAGGATGATCTAGCCTAGTCAATATTTTTGCTATCAGATGATTGGTCTTTAAAGTAGATTATACTTTTAGGGAGAAACTCCATGCTTTCATAAAAGCTATCCCCCAAAAGACAGTTAATATAAGTTAAAGCAAAGGATGTGCTCTGTCTCAGATTCCCCTACATCATTTTCCATAGTACATAATATTTTACACCAGCTACATTATTTTTTCCTCTAAAACCATGTATATATACAGCCTTTGAATTCATATCTATTATTTTGTATTTCCAGGCAGCATGCATGTTATTTCTAATCAGTATTATATCTGTAATATAGCATGCATTCTAATACATTTCACAGAATCTTTTTATTCAATGAATGTCTAAAACTACACAGAAGAACAACTGTACATGGATTTACTCACAGAAGAGCAGGCAGGTTTAGAAAAGTTCTTTCACCTTCACTTTCTTTCCTTTTTCTCCTTTGTACATGGGACATGACATTTCCATGGTGAGTGGGTATTTCTTTCAGGATTTTAATGGGACCTTTGCAGTACATTTTATTTGACCTCTGCCTGACAGACACTGAAGCTACAAATCCCTATCACTGCACTGGGACAGTGGGGACAAACCAGCTCTACATGGCACCCTTCATAGAAAGAAACTATTGATTTAAAAAATAATATTTACAAGGGTCTAAAATATCATTTTATCAGGCACTATCCAACTGTTTTTGCTTTACAGACAACAAAAAATCCAATCGTATATTGTATAATCACAGTTTAGTCTTTCATGCAAAAGTTACACAACTTTTGTATCTCTAAGTACATCTACTGTAACAGCACCATCAATTATAATTATGTTAAGCATTTTGACAATGACACAATGTAGCTGATTATTAATTCTAACCTGGCATCTTTTCTCTAAGTACTTCATACTCTGTAGGTCAAATTCAACTCTCCAAGATACCAGAGCAACACCCAAAACTTCTAAATCGTGTATGAGATTCAAATCCTCCCATAGAGAGATCCAGAAAGGCATCTGGGAGAAGCAAGGGCAGAGCATTGTACCAGTCATGGGAAATTACATACACAGACAACACACAGTGATAATGGCTGGAATAAATGTTGTTCTGCAAACAAAAGTGTTGTCACTTTCTGGCAAGTAATCTTTCCTTACCCTGTAAGACTTAAAAAAAATTAATAGTTTCGGTTGGGGTTTGGTTTGGGTTTTTCTTTTTATTTCTGAAAAACAATATTGTCAATGAGAAGAAACTGGCTTCCTTCCTTTTACTTCACCATCTCTGAACTTCAAGAAACGTATAATCACTGTGAAGTAGGTTGACTAAGAATAGTTCCACTATTTCTCATGCTCTGTTATTAAAAGGAATAAATTCTTTTATAGTCATATTAAGTAGCAGTCTCCTCACTGTGAAAGGAAAATGATGTTATAAAAAAAATCAGCCAGTCTGTGTATGATAGGTGCAGGAAAAAAACTTTCCAAGATTTGAACTCTGATTTTCTGTCGACCTAGAAATACTCCTCTTGCAGGAGGCAGCCTGTACTGCTGATAAACTATATAGTCACAGACGTTTGCTCCTCTTCACATTTACAACCAGGCAATTTTACTAGGCCCAACCCAGTCTCAGAAATGGAAGAAAAGTACACATTCAAAACGAAACACTCCTGGAAGATAAATGCAAATGACAAGTACTGGCTGGAACAGCTCCAGTGTAAAACCACACAAAGCTGCAGAGAGTTCAAGGACGTTTTTTATTCAGCCAGCAAATGAAAGGGAGACAACCTGCATGCCAGGTGAATTTGGCAATATTTCCCAAAGGCCAGGGCTTTTCCATTTCCTTGGCACCAGGGCTTCCTGACAGCATTGCTCTGCTAAAGCTTGTAAACTGGTGCAACTTTGGTATGGCCCCAAGAAAGGTTTTAGTCCCAACCCTACTACAGATGCATTAAATTGCTATATACTGCCCAGAAGTGGTCAGCAAGTCATTCAAACAGATTCATTTACGTGGCCCAATTACTGTAATAGCAGAACATTTCAGGATGATGACAAGTTATAAACAACCCCATTTTTAATTAAAATTTAGGGCCATCATTCTGATTCCAGTTCTGCACAGATCCTAAACAAGACACTAAGCGTTATCCTGAGAGTAGCCCATGAACTGACCAACCATCTACCTGTGTTCATGTGTCCCATCTAACTTTAGTCTCTATTTTTGCCAAAACTGGGAACTAAAGCCACGTCTAGCCAAGCCAGTAAGTTGCCCCTTAGCCTGCATCTACTCCATCTCATCTAGTCAGTCCAGCTTAGCACTGACAAGGGCTCACTACAGGACTTAAAGCCACGATCTAGTATCTTGTAATATGCAGTATGCTTCATAACGTGGACTTCAATCATATGACAAGGCATATAGTATAAGTCTGTATTTCTGCATGTGGTATTCTTTAAGTAAAGAAATCTTTTGTATTTAAAAGTAATATGCAGATGTAATGTGTTCATCCCTCAACATGTTACATCTGTGCATGCCAGTATCAGAATTTTTAATTTAAAAGACATTTAGAACACCTTGTAGTTAAATTCAGCTGCTCAATGCTCAAGTCAAATATTTGATGTATACTCATATCCAAAAGCTATAGAAATTACTCATACTCTGCTTTTCTTTTTTTTCCTCTTAAAAAAGTTAGCTTAATACCTCCTTGCAATTCTTTATGGTCTCACTTTGCCATCTTTAATCCAAGTTTTTACATATTCAGAAGTAAACTGGAAATTGATGACTTTGCTCAGAGATAAGAGTTACTGTTCACCCCTTAAAATTTGCATCCTGAAATACCCTGCCATTTTACTAGACTGTTCTAGCTTCATTCACCATATATATAATGTATTTTTTCCTAATTTTTGTTCACTGGGATGTGAAACAAAACAAATTAAATAGACTACTCAATCATGTTTATTTTAAAAATAATACATTTGTATATTGTTAATATTAAAAGTTTTATTGCCTGATTCACTGATCAAAGCTAATAACTAGAGACGAAGTATATTATGGCACATCCTCTAAAAACTCTGTTCCTAGCCTGGTACAAGTCTCTGGACTTCCATCCAAGTTTGAGCTGAAATAGCCCATAGTCCCATGTGACAACTGTACCTAAATTCAACGTATCAGAAGATTTCAGTAGTAATTTAAGAGACAGAAATAGGACTAACTCTATCTATGCAAAATGGCAAGTTATTAAAAAAAAACCACAAACCACAAAGCAGATATTAGCAGGAATGAACGTACATTAAAATCCATTAGATGAGTAAGCTTTAACTAAAGCACAAGTTTGAACTGCTAGAGTGACAGAGCATGCTCTGAACTGTCTGAGAGAAATGCTACATCATCCAATATTTGCCTGTGTAGCTGGAGACAGGCAAATAGGAGCTAGAGAGGTTATCGGAATTAGGGGTTACTACCAGTATGATTTAAAAGAAAATCCAATCAGAACAGCAAAAAATAAGCAAAGGAAGCAAAGGGAAAAAAAGACCATCCTAACAATGAATTCCAAAACTACCAGAACAAAATAATTCAGTAAACTACTGAAAAAGGAGGAAAAACCCACCCTGCCATAAAGGAAAAGAGCCAGTGAAGATTTTTGGATGGGCTGCAAAATGTCTCTGCCTATGCAGCACAGATAGAGGATCTGTCTCTGCCTCAGATCCACACCAAGGCACTAGCACCAGTGCAAGTGCCATACGTGTATCCAACAGCTATTAAGGTATTTGCCTAGCTGGGCTAAAGCATCCTTTTTGTTTGGTTTTTTTTTTTTTAGCTAAACTACAGGATATTTAGCATTTTTTACATTCCTTCATCTTTATAATAATTTGGATTCTACATACCATTTGCCTTAACTGTGCAATGCAAACCTCAAACTTTAGAATTTCTTAAGTAGAACACTATCATTTGTGGGGGTTTTTAGGTAAATAACTTACCATTATTTCTTGCTGAAAATTCTAAGCAAACAGCTTCTGAAATAAGTTCTTCTGAACCCAGCCTTTATTCTGACATAAAGCATCAATTGCAAAGGGCTTACTGACCTATCTGCCTTAATTTGGAGCATACATGGTGAATGATTTAAGTATTTGTGTATTCATGTCACTTGTCTGGGAGATGTATTAGTCATATTGCCTTTGACCTATTTTTCACGAACAGTGATTCCTTTTCTACTGAGCATCACGACTTTGCCAGCCCTGTGACTAAAAGCTATGAATTGACAAAAATAGTGCTGAGCCTTAGGGCTATTTATTTGCAAGGACTGGTTTCCATATTGAGAAAAGAGGGAGAGAAAACACACCACAGTTTGCCCAGATAGGTAATAATACAGGCTCATGAATGATTAAAATCCACATGCTGTAAAACTCACCTTCGCTATCTCTCTGCTGATGCATTAAATTAAAATCAATAATAGGAGAAATGAAGTGATATTGCTCTGATAAAAAGAATGACAAAAATAGAATTACATGATATGGCAGGTGATCTCACACAATACAGACATAGGAAGTAAAGAGCGTAAATTTACTTGAACAAAAAAACCAGACTAAAACTGAAAATAAAAGAATCAGGATTCTTAAAACCTGTCTGAAAAGGAAGACTCCCTCTCCTTCTCTAACAGAAGGTTATAGCCATTAATTTCCATTCTTTTAACAGGCATCACCCCTTTTTACGTTACACAGCATTTGCATCAGGAAATGGTGCTTTGCATTAGCTCTGCACTGTTTCCCAGAGGACTGCAAATCTGATATTAAACTGCAAGTCACAAGGCTTTTTTATAATTGCAAATGAGAACACATCGTGGCATGGTCGCTTACCTCCACAGCTGGCCCCATCAGCTTGCACACTGGTTTGGACTGATGAAGGGACTGGATCCTTGGGTGCCGGCAGCTGAGGAGTTTCTTCCGGGGCTGGCAGAAACGCAGAGCACAGATCAGTTTCAAGGGCTTGTAGCTTCAACAAAGAATTCTGCAGACAAAAGCAGAACATTGGGCTAGATAGAGAACAACAGAACACAGCGATAGCTCTTCAACTCACTGAGCCCATTAGCAGCGCCTGCAAAGGGGTGTTCCACTAGCACCTCTGCAAGGACGTGCAAGAGAACAAACATGCACTATTCCATGAGTTTCTTGACTTCTGGTTATTTAAGTCCCAATTTATATAGATTATTCATGACACGTGGCAAAGACGACTTTATCAGCAAAAGATGATTTATTCTAGGAAGCCAAACTGAGATGGTGTCCCTTTTCTTGGTCTTGAAGCAATACATTAAGCAAGTATTTCATTCATTGGGCTGACATCACGATCTGATGACATTATGTCCCTCCCCATTTACCATTCATAAAAAAACAAATCTCCCTCTCCAGCCAGTGAGTGCAGTATGCAGCAGTGAACAACGAGTTACTGAGAACACTCTCCCTCATGGGGTTCTTGGAAGAGTTATTTTTTAATTGGCTTTTTTAGAGATACTTCTTTATGTAGACATAGCTTTTATGTAGGCTGCTGCTGCTTCTACAGGCAACCAGATCATTTCCTATCTGCTGCAAAGGTAATATTAACAGATCATTGTCACTTGCTGCAGTCAAATCAATGAGGGCAAGGCTTGTTATCTATAACATCACTTCCAGCTACTGTGTCACGCTTGGTCCATTTCTCATTTTAATCTTTATTGCTGCATGCAATATTCAGCTATACAATCTGACACAAGCATCTTGCTGTGATGTAAATGCTGTGAGAGCCCTAATCACCATCTGACTGGGCAAAACGAGTCACTGCCAATACCCCACTCATTCAGTTCCCCTCTCTCAAGGGAAATACAGCTTGCAACAGAAAACAAAATCACACAAGGCTGCCTTAATAATCACACAGCTGACACACACAGAATATACGTAAAATGTTAAGTCACTCAAATGGTACATATTTGTGAAGAGCATTTTCTGAAAAAAATAAACCTGAGTTGCAACAGAAAAAAAATTCCTCAAGTTTATACCCTGAAAAGCTCCTTTCCCCACTCTGTCAAAGACCTGAAAGCAATTTATTAATTCATTTAATGAAATAATAAATTTATTTATTGGAATAATTTCCTTTGTGTAACAATATCACCTATGTAGTAAGTAGTTTAATATGTCTTTGCATCATTTTTATTGTAATACAGCCCTTTTATAAATCCAATGATGCCAGTGTTTTTAGGTGAAACAAAATAAAAATGGAAACTAATTTGGCTGAGAACAGCAGGGAAGACTTTCAGCCTTGATCCTCTCATTCCTTTTATAGAATTCAGGCAGTGAAAAGGGAGCAGAAAGTAGCTCTTTCCAGGAGATACCTCAAAATAGGGAAGCTTTGAAAAAGCACAAGATCACCATAACTAGATCCTGCAACCCTCCATGTGCTTTCAGGAGTGCTTCAAAATCCATGTGCCGTTCCACAGATCAGATTAGGTTACAATCAAACACTTGGACTTAGGCCTCAGCTTAGGTCAAAAAGGAAATCCAGGAACACCTTCCTTTTCCTGGTCCCAGAGCAAACAGCTCTGGCCATTCCTATGAGAAGCAGCATGATATTAGAGACATGTGAGCAAAGAAATGGCTTGTGTTATACATTCATTTTAGAATTAAGTTTCTCTCATCTGTTGTCAAGATACATTTTGACATCTCATCCTATAAAACCAAAAGAGAAGTGATTGGAAGATCAAGCACTGATTCATAATTAAATGCCTAAACATAATACCATTCTTTAAAAATATGGCATGATATAGAGCTGGTTTCTATGATCTGAGGCAGAAGATAACATTTACTATTCCCAGGTACAGGTTGCACTAACAACCTACCATTATCTGGCCCAGCTGTCATTTCTAAGGATAATTTACCCATCTTGACCAGCAGTGCCTCGTCTTCACACCTCAGTTTCTCCAGGACTCCTGAACGACTGGCATTTTTTCCATGTCATTTACTGACACTGCTTGGTCCAATATTTTACGTATATTACTTCAAACTGATCTGGGTCCTTTAACCTGTCTGCCAGAGTATACCAGGTGTGCAAATGTCCCCAACATGGGCTTTATCTGTGAAGACCAATATAACAAATTCACTCAGCTTCTCTGTTTATAGCCGTATCACCTTAGTGCCCATTTTACATGTCAGCCAGCCAGCAGTCCCAGTGATACCCTATCTGGCTTCCTGCTTTTGATGTACTTAGTAGAATTCTTACCATTAGTTCGAGCATCTTTTATGAGGTACCTTCAAAGATTTCTTTAATCCTCTGCAGGGCTTCAATTAGAGACAGAATGATGGAAACCATCTCACCTTCAACAGCTTTCAAGTAGCAGTGAATTTTCCTTGTCAAGGGAAAGGTGCCGACTTGAATTGTACCCGTGGCACTGTTTTGGAAAGGGTTTTTATGACATGACAGGCCTCATTTCCCACTGCCTCTCATCCCAGCTAGACCCAAACAAACAAAAAGGCTGTGGAATTATCACAACAGACAGGCAGTGTTTTACAGTCATTAATGTCATCTAGCAAAAGGTGACTATACCACTTACAAACCAGTGAGGACTCTGATCCCAGCCTGGACTTTATCATGAGAACTGCTGATGGCAAGTAAGGAGAACATAGGCAAACATATCAGAACAACATACCAATAAGGAGAATGTAGGCAAATAACTGACAAAAATACCTAACCTTCACAGGTTGTTACTTCAAGCATTTGACAAAAAAATTCCCATATCAAGAAGGAATATTCACTTTGCATCACCATTTCTTATGATACATTAATATTTATGGCAAGTTCAGTATAAAAACATTCACATAGACTACATTGTTAAACATGGTATTTCGGCAATGCTTATCCTGTAATTCACCAGCTGGTTTATATTCAGTTGCTCTAAATTATATTTTTCACCCATCTGTGGAAGGTGGGTGGATGGCAAATTTCCAGTCACTGTCAAATACTAAAAAAAAAAAAAAAAAAAAAAAAAAAAGTAATAATAACAGAAATACTTTTTTCGTGAATGTGTCCTTGAAAGGGGTTTGATGTAGGGAGAAAAAGAGTAAGTAGTTTTGATCATTTTGATGTTACCAGGAAGACGATGAATCTGGAGCATGCCATCAACCTCATCTTACTCCGAAAGCACAGCTGAGTACTTTGGTACTGCCACAGCACGCTATACATGAAAAGTCACCATGTATTTATGGGAACGCATGTAAGGAGACATAGCTTTAAGCAAAGGCCAAGCACAAAGCTGCCCAGGGTCACCAACTCATGGGCGACAGGAGCATCCTAGTAAATGGTAGGGCTGACCGTGCTGCCTGCCCTGCAGCATGTGCTGTCCTGCCCCTTTCAGAGGGGTGCCTGAAGTACCGGCAATGCCAGAGCAGCTGGCCTGGATCCTGCCAGCCTCGGACCTCCCGCGCCATGGCAGGAGCAGTGCAGCCCCCTGTTTCTGCAACTGCAGCCCAAACAGAGCAGGAAGGTGGTCTGGGAGAGGACATGGCCATATATCAGCAACTGGCAGCGTGCTCTCTTTCCTTGGGCTCGTTGGGGGCAGGCCAACATGCTACCAACTGCGGGCGAAAGGAAGGCAGGAAGAGAGAAGAATAAAGTCTGAGCCCTGTCTTCATCTTCTCAAACCTCCCAAGTTCATTTGAAACCTTACTGACCACTTCGAACTCCCCCCTAATTCTCCACTACTTTCCAGTACCTCTAACAGACCTGATGGGACTGCAGGCATCCTGGCACAGTGGGGGGATGTGTACTCTTCTGCACTGCACACACTCAGGAATACATCTAATCTGGAGATGAACCAGCCTGTGCACATGCTACTTAAAGTTCTCCAATGGTCCAGACCTGCCCCTGGGGCCCAGCTGGGCCATCTCTGCTCTTGGCCATTTAAAAGAAATTGCAAAACATGTTAGAAGCAAATACAAACAGCTAAAATACTTAGAGAGGGAAACGTTAGGTTATGATGAGTACCATCATAAATTTTAGTAAGCTCTTATATGGAAAACCAATATCACTGAAGTAATTTAAGCTATGGCATATTTTATCAGCTAATGATTTCAGTTCAAATACTTCAGATTTGATGCCTATTCCAGCTTTACTCTGGTGCCTAACACTAGTATTTCTGATGCATGCAGTAATTCCTGATCCATGCTAATGCAAGTGAAAGGACATATTAATATTTAAAATGGATCCTTAAGTTTCTTTGGAAAAATAACCATATTGCTGCCTCTTAAGAAAAGTATTTTGCAAGTTTGAAAAAGAAGGAATTATAATTGTCTTGGACAAAGGTTTCTTATCTCTTCTTATGTCCTCTTAAAGTAACTGACAATTCAAAGAACTTGAGCTATGCCAATTCCACCAGAAAAAGAAAAAACATCCTGCATCGTTCCAGATCAAAGATAATGGAAAAATAAAGACATTTACAGTAAGTCTGAGGAAAACAGAACGACAGACAGTGTGGTATTTCTCTCCTATTTGTTATTTCTGCCAATGCTTTAAGAAAACATAGTCATTAAAGTATCATACTCTTGCCTGCTGGAGAAAACACAGTACAAAAGGATTGCCATTTGCAGAGGAAGCTCATCCTGTAGAAAAGAAACCATCTTTACAAACTATTAAGCCTGTAGACTGTACCTCACTGACCATCTCTCTTTCCATCCAATGATTACTGAAAATCAAGAGCTGAGGCCTTAGGGCAAGGAACTGTTGAGATGATAGATAACCTCCTACATCTAGAGAGAAATAGCACACACCTACACTCACACTGCTAAATCCCTCTGGAGAATGGGACACTGAATGAACAAATTCTCCCAATTTATCACCAAAATGCTGTGGCAATGAGGGGAGTCCCCTGACATAGCTTATAAACTTTTCCACGGTAGGTGCCATCAGTAACAACCTCTCCAGCCAGAGGTCCCTGCATGGGGCCCTGCAGGATTGGTGCCATGTGACATGTTGGTCAGCATGTCCAGGGGACCATAGCCTGATGGGAGACAAGGCACCAAATGGAGCCTCGCAGTCCTGCACTCTCCCTTATTGCACCAAGAGCTACAGCACTGCCAAACCTGCTAATCAATCAGTGCTCACTGTGTATCTACAGAGAGACCAGATAGGTAACAATGGCCAGAAGAGAGCCACGGCTGTTAGAAATAACTTCTTTCCCTGATAAAGCATTACTGTTATCAGCATCCTTTGTTTCATCCTTGTGGATGTCCTAAGGTCTGGTAAATTTAAGAACTGATGGAAGAGGAAAAGGGAATGCCCCACCCATAGACCCTGCTCAGTCTCAGTCTGGAGCCTGACAGGGAGAAGGGAGGAGAAGCAAAACCCAGATTTGGTGCTTTCTGCATAAACTGAAACCACCCTGCCCCACACATGGTGTTTCTGAATATTAAGGATGCCTGCACCCTGCCCCTCGGCCTGCTCCTGCCCCTCCAGGACAGGAAGGCAGCTATTCTATTATACCCGGTTTATTGATGGATTTACTGGATTTATGAAATCACCTGAGGTAGAGAAGAAGAATAATCCAAGCTTTCAGCATTTAATGGCCTTTGAAGTGATTCATATAGAAAAGAAACTGAGCAAATATCAACCTGTTCAATTTCTTGACTCTAAGGAAATTAATGCTTTTGTATGTCACATTGGAACAGCGATGTATAAAAGCATCTCCCTTGCTTTTTAATCTAAGAGTTCAGGTTAAAACACGATAGGCATATTTTATGTGAACAAAAATAAATCTCTGCGGTATCTGTTATGGCAATATTTGTGTCTTGAGGCATATGACATTTTCAATTCAGAACTTCCTTTATGGGGAACAAACAAGCAACAATAAGATAGAACAAGATACACCCTGGGTCTATATAATGCCACGGGTGAGCAGTGAAGAGAGACACCACTTTCTCTAATCCTAGAGGGGAACTTATTTTCTTATGACACATGACCATTTGGGTTTGCAGTAGACCTGAGACACAATACAATCTAAGATTTTGGAAAAGAAAGCACCAGAATGTAACCCTTGCTCATTTCCCATAAATTATTAATATTTTAATTTCTCATCTAATTATCTGTTTTAATGTCTTACACTGATTTTATTTATTATAATATTTTATCTTAACCTTTAAGGAATCCTTTACAAGAATTTTAAATGGGAGGTTTTAAGTGGAAGCTTTGGTGATTATTTGCAATGGGGCTTCTCAAAAGAAACAATAACTTAATGATTTCTGTCAGGGCCTTAATTGGCTAGACAGTGGCTGAGTATACTCCCTTATATCGGTCATGGAATGTGCCTTATGAGTTAGCACTGACATTTTCAACAGTGAGCTGCACAACAATGATGCAAATGCACAGGAAATAGTTCATAGTAAGGGGAAGATTAAGTCTGAATTCCTTTAGAAGGACTTCCCCCAATGAAAGTCAGGCATCTATTAATAGACATAGATATTCTCTGGCTCATTATGGAAACAAATCTGTCTTTTCCATGGTTTCACAGGAATGGGCTTCCTTTCCCCCCAGTTCTTTTTTTCGGCTGCTTCTGTTGTTCAGTTGTCTTGGTCTACGCTTAAAAATATTGTTTGCTCCTTGTTTAAGTTCAGTATTGCTCATTGCCCTTGCAGCGCGTAAGCATACTCTGTGCTAGTATGCAGATACCCCTGTTTGTGGGAGATGCTTTATAAGGTTTCCTACTTTGAATAATTGCAAAGCTTGGTTTTGGCCTCCAGTATTTTGCTGATTGTGGGAATCTAGCCCAGGCTCACCCATTGTTTGACACGATCTCACAAACAGCTTCTTTGTGCTCTACTCTCACAGCATCCTCCTGGATCCCTGTGATCTCACAGCATCCATAATCCCTGTGAAAACAGCTCTTGTTTCGAGCGTCACAGGTGTTATTTGGCTTTTCTTGCTTCCTCTCTTCACTTCAACTCTCCCCTCCTCCCATCTTACTTTTTAAAGTAGCTTTTAGACCACATTGTACTGTTCATTGTTTATTTATATAGGATGTAGCAACCTTGAGAACCCCTTATTTTTAAACAAAACATCATTGATAGCTGAACATTTTTGAGCTGTAATACAAGGGAGAAATCAAGTGTTCTTGAAAGATGGCATTTCACTCGGTCAATACTGAATGTTTAATTATTTTCTGAGCACAAACAGAAAGCAGCATGTTGGCTTAAAATATTTGAAAAATCTCTTGCTTCTGGCTTTTAAACTATTATAGCAGTCTCAAGTCACATTTATAAGCTTTTCTCCAAAAACATGATCAGAATGGTCCATTAAAAAGCTAACCTAAGATTCTCAGGTGATTACATTATTCCAAGACCTTAGAATTAACAAAACCAAACACCTAATTCAAAATTTGTAAAATCATATTTCAACTTTTGGTTAAGCTTACCTCATTTAAACTGTTGAATTGCTCAGTTCCTTCTTTTGGTGAAATGCTTATGTTCTGCTCTATTCTACAAAACAAAACAAGAATTTTCACTCAATAGATTGCTTATCTGTGCTGCAAATATTTCAAACTTTTCATCACATCTGTACATAAATTACAAGTTATGGGATAAAGTTGTTTTAATTAAAAAATAACATCTCTATGAAGGTTACATCTGTTATTTTATACCTCACTCAAACAGTGATTTTCCTGGAATCCTAAATAATATATTTAAACTGTGAATGAGGTCCTGGAAATTATGACATTAAAATCCGGGCTCATTCTGTTACACAGAAGAAGTTCTAAAGAAGCATGATCAGCTCTCAGTATCCTGGTGAGCTAATAGGGTTAAAGCCACGAAAAAGCTCAAACATATGTTTAAATCTAAGCACAATTTATCCCACATGCTTGAAGTCAGGAACAAGAGTTTTCCTGTATCAGAGCCATAAAGAATAAATCTTTCCATATTTGAATTTGATGGTATTTCAGGGTCCCAATCTTCAACTTTCTGCTTAAGTTCAGTTTTGCAAATCTCACAAAGACCCAAGGGACTGTCATGAGGAGCTGGAAATCCTTTGAGTAAGAGAGATGTCAACATTTTCTAATGACTGACACTTTGCAGCCATCAGAGATGTCCATACCTTCGGTTTTCCCTCAGTATATTACTGCTTCTCCACATGGAAATAGGAAAGGAATGTCCCAGACCAGCAAGGGGAAAATCTCTTCCCTCTGGCTATGGCTGAGATGTCTGTGCCCCATCCAGGCAGATGTGGTCGTGTTCTAAGGCTCCACACACCTACCAGCTTCAGGATTAGTTACAAATTCAGTCTACCAAGGAATGAAACTGAAGCCTAAAAAAACTTCCCATGGATTAGGTGAGCAACCTGAATAGCCTCATACCACAGGTCTGTCCTTCCCCCAAAGCAAACAGGGGTTTTCACACTCAACTTCAAAGCCTGACATGGGTGTATCACAAGTTGACTCGCAACTCGGCTGAAGCAAGACAACTATTGCTGTCTCAGAGAATGAGATTTCTCATTGCTGAAAAGGTGGCCATGTTTGCTGGCCCCTGTGAGACTCACTCACAAACGTGGTCAAAACTAACACAAACCCCAGATTTCCTTTGGGCAAAATAATTCATATTTTTCAACCTATTGTGCTCAGTCATCCCAGCAAAACCAAATAGTTTTAAAAGTCTCTAGAGGCCTCAAAAACAGTACAGACAAATGCACAGGCCTTTGTTGTAGTTCTTCATAGATTTATGAGGCATTTAAAGACTGAAATGATGGATATGCCACTTTCCTTACCAAAACAGGCACATTAGATAGCTACACCAAGGTGAACAAGCACTTGCCTCCAAACAGGATCCAAGGTGTGCAATTCACATAGGAACAAAAATGACTCATTTTGGTGGTGGTACATCTAGCACCAGAACGGGAGGTCTCACAGGCCAGCCAGCCTGTATCTTGAGATACACAGGTACATGATCAGAAGCGAGTGATTTCTGGAGATACTTCGGCAGAAAGGTGCCTTGGCTGACTGTTGTACAAGCACCTATCTACGTCTCTATGTAGGTCTCCACATATATATTCTCTCCGCCATCTCAAAAATGAATAGCAAATGTCTCCATAATGTGAAGAGAACAGAAGGAAAATAGAATTACAGAAGCAAAAAGGTTAATGCCTAACAACCCATTTCTAGCTTTTAGGCAGCAGAGAGGGCAGTATGAGGCAGCAGAAAAGAGTTAAAACTGAGAAAAAGCATGGGGAGAGCAAAAGGACTAATTTAATAAGAAAGAGTGAAATATTTATAGTTTGGTTTAATAACATGTAAGGAAGAACCTGCAAGGCTACAAAGAGCTGAAGAATTAACTCACTAATGAAGAAAAAAATATTTAGAGTGATTTATTGCATTGAACTAGACCTAGACATAAAGGAAAGGAAGAAAAGGACACATGTCAGATTTGTACACTTCTGGTATTCATTTGGATGACTCCTTTCAGGGTGTGTAACACACAGCAAATGTGAACTCTCCTTAAGAAAAAGAAAACAAAAAACTAAATGCTAGCAGCAGTTCTTACAAGTGCTATACGAAGTTCTACATACTTCACAGCTGTATCATTCATGAGTCTTGCACTCTGGAGAGTGAAAGGTTTACAGCACCTTTGAAGTACCACCTCTCTCTTATTCAGGTCGATGCTCTTGTCTGCTGTTTTAGGGATGCAGAAGTCTTGCATTTTACTGTTTCTTTTTCACTAAAATTACTGGAGTAAGATGCTCTTAGTTTTGCATTCTTAGGATTCTGGAGACACTGAAATCATTAAGGTGAGTAAAACCATTTTTGTGTGAAGACCATTTACATTAATAGTCATCTATGTATGCTGAGCTGATCTTTATACAGAGAGTTTCGGGGTGTGCTTTTTTTTTCACCAAGATTAACTGCTCTCCTACGCAAATGCAGGTTATCTGATTGTCACCAGGCAACAAAGGGCTTACAGTTTAATAACTATGGGTTGGATCCTACTCTCATTAAAAGTCAATCACAAAATATCCATTAACTTCAAAAGCAGCAGGAACAAGCCCTAATTTTCCATCTGTGCTGAGTACAGAAAAAAAAAAAAAACCCAGCTATTTTAAGCTTTAGCTGAAATTTTGAATAATTGCAGGCAACCCTTATTTTGTATAATTTACATCATGTAAAATAATGAAAATGGAATTCTCTCCATGGCTACTACTCAAATATATGTTATATCATTCTTTATAAAATATGAAAGGCCTGATCTCTCACTTTCCCCATAGACTGTGGCTTTGGTAGAATTACTCTGTTCTGCATGGCACAGATGACAAGGATGCAACCCAGTAACATGTACATTTGAAGCTTGTGGGCATAACAAAAGAAAAAAGAAAATCTAAATACTGATTATCATAACAGAGCTCCTACCAGACTTCAAGGGAAAGATCAATTTGCATGAGCAGTGTGCTGTTTAAAAAACAGACCAGAACATGTGAATTATTGAATTATGCATGATATCACTTCTAAACTTGCATAAAATTCAAATAAAACCACATAATTTTAAAAACCAGGAAAAATGTTTAAAGATAACCTAAGAAAATTCACTTCTTATTTCCCAGACTAAACCCAGAAAGGAGCATTACATTCTGCAATTTGCAAGTCTCAATCCAGTTCAACCCTGGGTTGCATTAACCTTATCCTCAGGAGACTTATGTGTTTATGCATCACAATGCCACACGTGCTCAGTGTCTTGGGCCAGTTAATGCCTTAGTGATGCCAGGATAAATCCTGGCAAGCAAACCACACACTGTGCTGTGGGATGAAACCCCTTTTCCAGATTCACTTCCAGTCTACCCTGGCCCAATACTCCTTCCCTGTCTCCAGTCCAGCAATCGGTTTTACACTTCCCGCTGTGAGGGTGGCCTACCAGGTTAGCAGCTCAGAAAGGGTACTCTCAGTACCGCATCAGAGCACTGATTCAGCCTCTCCAGAGGTTACATCACACAAGTTCACAGAAAGGCAGACCCTACAACCAATACACCTCAAAAAGCTCAAGCTTGTTTTCCTCAAGGGAAAAAAAAGCTCCTTTCTGAGACCTCCACAGAAGGCAAAAAGCATTATGAAATTCAAACATAGTCACTACTCGAATACAGGGCTGCACATGAAGGCTTCAAAAGCATGCCTGTGACTCCTTACAAAGCAATACAGAACTGCAACAGGCTTTTATATGAACATGAAGTGCACGCTTGCAATGAAAGAAACACCACCATTAAGGGCCTAGGCTGTTTAGAAACATCCTAGGCTACTCCTTGGGCACTCCCTGAATGCTGGAATAAGCAGCCAGCCAGCCAGCCAGTGTACCAGTGCCTGTCTCATCAATCACAGCAGTTACGTAAAGGCTGCCTGTGGACAGCCACACTTGTTTTTCTTATTATGAGTGCCTCTTGTACTCACCAGGCACAGTTCTTGCTTGGGCTACAGTAAGGTGCTTGCTTTTTTTTTGCCCCTCTGTCCTCTCCCCATACCCCCTTTTTTCTTTCTTTTTTTGTTTTTTCTTTCTCTTTAAGTGTATTCCAACCCAAGAGCTTGCTCAGGGTTTTTCCATGCCTTGGTACAAGAAGTATCAATGGAACCATAAACACCAATATTTTAATATCAAGATTTCTGAAGAAACTCTTCTCAAGATTTGGTCAGTCATTTCCCAGCAAAGCAATGTTTCATCAGCATATCCAGATTTGCTGACAGAGAGCTATTTGCAGACACATACTGGTCGTGATGAATTTTCACCAGGTCTGAGGCAGGACTCAGAGGGAATCTGGCTAAGTTTTCTCCCTGCTCACCTGGCCGCCTGTGCAGGAACGCAGTCTCATAAGCTCTGGCTCACCCGCGCGGGTCCGCCATATGGCGCGGGGACATCAGCACTTCTGCAGCTTCCCTGCTCCCTCCCACGCATTCCTGAGTTGTAGCTGTTCAGCAGAAAGCGTGGAAGCTATGAGAGTCCCCACCTGAACTGCATTCTCAAAAGCTACTTGCCTTGAAAACTTCAATACTGAAAGCCTTGCTAGAGCTTGGTCTCCCTCAGAGGAGCACAGAAACCCTGGGAGACACTGACTGAGCTCAAGATCCAGGGCAGCCCTGGGTTCCCGACATTTCCATTGTTCCTTGGAGAACAGTCATAGGTCTGACAGCAACTGCTGCCCTACAGCCTCTGCAGAAATTAGGACCAGCTGAGTCCTACTGAATGAAGCCACTCCCATTTTATTTGGGGAATGGGGAAGAGGGGGAACTTTCTGGAATTTTTCTTTGGCAGAAAACTTAACCCCAAAGTGTAGTTCCCACACTGACTTGGAATGCAACCTTCTCTGAAACAGCAACGTTCCCACCACCCAGGAGTCCCAGGTTTCAGCCCCCTATCTGGGTAACAAGCATCTGAAGAAAACACCATCCTCTATTCAGGTAACTGCATACACAGCTCAAAGGCAATCGACATCAGTTTTGCTGATTGCCTTTTAGAAAGCAATCAGTAGAAGCAGCTTTTTGTAATCATATGTATTGTTCCATACTGGCTTTCCTATTCCCTGTTAAAAAAAGGCAATTGTCTTTATTGTAGCATTTGTTCCTGGGGCCTGCATATAACTTTTATCTCTGAAAGGTGTGGATTATATTACACTCTTACCCAAACCCAACTACACACAATGACTAGCGCAGTATTCAATGTAATCCCTAGCAACAGTATTAGAAATTCCTGTTCTTTTAATAAAATGTCAAGGGTTCCTTCCATGCAGATGGCATTTCATATTCTAAATTGATGCTGATGTTCATAAATCATGCATGATAAACACCTCTTGAAATTAAAATCCTTGATTCACAGGTCAGGTATAGCTTAGCCAAGACTACGACAGTATTCCCTCATTCTTCTGACTGTAAACCTCTTCACCAAGTCTATTCTTTTCTTTCTTTCAAATCCCGCTAAAACTCTTCCTTCACTGTTTCAGTGGTTATCATAAAATGAAAGTACGCCCCCCAAAAACAACCAACACATGAGAGTTGCATTTCTGTAGATTGTTTCACTTATATTTCCCGTTCTGTTCTCCTCTGTCACGTACCTATTTATGAACATCCCTTGTTAGGTTACCCTGAATTTAGATCACTCTGCTTATCAGGGACTGTACTGAAAAGTTTTTCGTATCTCAGTAGTTTTAATCCATATTTAGACAAATGAAAGCTATCCTGGTTTTAGCTGCCCCACGCTCACCAAAACAGATTAAAAAAAAAACCAAACTCTGCACAGTTCAGAGGCATTTAGACCTTTAAACTCCAATGAGACTAATGACAGAGCTATAGCAGTCTGCAGAAACTAAATTAAAGCAGTAGTAACAACAAGCCACATTAGAAATAATCAACCTTGCTTCTTAGTATAAGAAAGAAATAAATCCTTCTTCTCCTATCCTCCCCACACACATCTGATAGACAGAGGAGCCTGCCTAGTGGCACCCCAGCAGCAGTGTGGCCATATCCTCTTCTCCAAAAGACCAGAATGCTTTTGGTCTATGAGTTAGGGATCCTAGGCAGATGTAGTGTTTCAAAGCATTGCTAACTTTACCAGTAACCTAGCAAAAACAGGTTGGAAGATAGTGAAACTCAAGTTTTATGGGGCTAGCAGATGTGTCCTGTCAAAATCTAGCGATGATTGCTGCCTGCTGCCAAGACTGAATACTTAACCTTTGCCATGTCCCAGAGCAGAGAAGGCAGAAAACAAGGCAAGATGTTATACCCTGGCAGCTATGTTTCACAGCCTGTTGCACAAAGCCAGTTCTGTGATCCTGATGCAGTAGCCAGCGATCTGTATGAGACATGGGCATGTAATTGCTCTGGCCCCATCAAAGATGACTGACAGCAGAGGGATGGGGCAAGCTGCTGGTGACCCTTAAGAGAAGTCACCAGACACCGTGACCCTCAAACTGAAAGTGGTATTTTCAGCATATGTAATTCAAGGTCCCCTGCCTCAGCTGGGTGGTGGGAATGTTTTTTCCAAGGACAGTTAAGACAGTTAAAGTAAATAAAGTGTGTGTGTGAGGCCAGGGACAATGCGTTAATGCCTGTTTACACCATGTTTGAAGTTCCTTATTTCAGAGTAAAGTTGCCTCCATTTTGTTGTAATATAATCAAACTAAGACATGGCCAGAGTTGAGATTTGATCTCTGTGCTTTCACAGCTCTTGGCACAGTAAATCCAGGTACCATTATTTAACAGACTTAGCACTTGTCAATAGCAGGCTTCCTAAGGAGCTACCCTGGTGTTAAACAGGAGTAAAAAGCATAGTGAACAATGGTTTAATACCAGGCAAACTTAAAAGGCCAAAGTGTTGAAGTGGACCTGGACACTTTGCTGTGGTTGCTGTTTTATTCACGCACACTCTGCTCTGGTTCTTATCTTTAAAGTCCACGTTTCTTTCATCATGTTCCTTTCATCAATCACAATTAACCAATGTTATTTCATTATCTACCCATACACAGACCTCCTACCAGAAAAGCCACTAGGTAAGTCTAACTCTCTGATACCAAACTCACTATGCTCCTCTTTACAAGAAATCCATGTGATTTTTTCCTAGCTTAAAGAATGCCAGAAAAAGAGAAGGCAGGCTTCCTAGGCTGGGGCTAATTAGAAATACTTTCTGAGATGCAGCGTCTCAATTGCACATACAAGCATTGGAGGGTGAAAGCAGCTCTTTGTGAAAGCTAATTAAATGCTCGGTCATTCTGCTAAAGCTTCCTTTGAGAGCACAAATTAATTTCATTTACAATGTTGCCTACTAAAAGCTGTGGTGAAGGCAACCAGTTCATTTCACGTAAAGCACCAAAGTGCCATTGGATGGCAACTGTCACTACTAACCTAATCCTGACTTGAAACCTTGGAGGCAATGAGCTCTGTATGTCAACTCGCTGTGCCCTGACCCACTGAGCATCCTTGGGATGCAGAGCTGATGCACCGGTCCCTCCAAAGCAAGCCAGTGCCTCTGCCACACAGCACCACGGCTGTCATGCACCCCGAGACAGAGAACAGCGCAGAGACCTGGCTCACCTGCCTGAAACTCTATGTGCACAGCAAAGCAGGGCCAAACCAGCACCTAAGCATTGGAAATTTGTAAAGTAGTGCCCCAAAAATTGACGGCCGTGAAGAGCATGATCTTATTTACACATTCCAAGCCTGCCAGTAAGAGCTAAATCTTATCCTTAGGACACACCTTCACTGGTAGATTGGGTCAGTTGGGCGAGTTGAAACCCCATTTTTAGCCTTTTGCACAGCCATAAAGAATTGGAGGAGGAGCACAACCATGAAGGATTGGAGGAGGAACTGTGACTTCCAGTAGCTACCAGAGCTGAGTTACTTCGTCATCAGCTGAATTACCTGCCATGGAGACTCGGCTAACACCTGACCTTAACACCCTGTACCCTTCACAACGTTGGAACAAGCGCAGTTACCACAGCATGCAGGGTCTAAACTATACATAAATGCATACCCATGCTAAAATCAGGTGTGCGGGTTCCCATTCCCATTTCTCAGTGAGAATACAGCTGTGAGAAAGAGTGAGGCAAGTCAGCACTGGGGGAAAAAGAAAAAAAGTGCCAGGATATTTTTGAAACTTGGCATAGAGGAATTGAAGTTTCTGAACTGAGGATGTTCTTCTTGCTTGAAATGTAGGGGATTTAAAGAATGATGAAATTAGCATTCTTATCTTCATCCCTTTCACTTTCTCCAAACAGTTTTAGCCATATAAATACAGAATACAACTGCCACTGAGAGCCAGGAGTCTGAATATTTTATACAAAAGGCAGCAAATGAATTAGCCTTTCCTACAGTCAATCAAGAGTGAAATGCGCTGTCTTATCCCAAGGCTTACCTTGGTTGAAATCTCACTACTGCCTCCTGGTATCTTAAAGCCACGTTCTGTGCGTAGTCATTATCTGAGGATCCAGCCTTCCCCTGCCACTCTGAAAGGCCTGGCAATGCACTTTCCAGCTCCTGCACAAAGCAAAAAAAAAAGTTGAATGCCCTGTCAGTACCAATCAGGCTTAGCTGAAAATTTTGCTTTAAGAAAAAAAGAGCTCCATGAGACTGGATGCGAATTGTGGTTCTTTGTTATTTTTTGGTAATAATCTGGAAACAACTGGAAAACACAGACTAGAAAAGGTTCTAAACAAAGCAGTATCTTCTTTCACTGCAAAACATTTTTTGAAACCAAAGCAGACTGTAACCCATTTTCTGTTTATTACTTAGATAACAGATATCAGCTTCTGAGCTAAGAGGTGCTATACACAAAGTTCAATTTTTTTTTGCTTAGGTATACACTCACATTTCATTTGAAATTATTTACTGACATGTCAGTAATATTTTATTATTTGGGCATCATCAGAAAAAAATTCGGCTGACAAAAGCAAATGCAGTTCACTTAAGATTTGTAAGGTTTAACCAGTTTCCTTTTTGCTTTTGCTTTTTCCCTTCCCTAGCATATGCATAGCTTTATGCATAGAGTATTACTGCAGAAGAAGTGAAAGGCAGTGAGGAAAAAAGTCATATCAGCCAACCTGCCACACAGAAAAAAAAAAAAAGCCAATTTAGTCCAACAAATTGAGGACGGGAATGGGAATTAGAAAGGTATGCATTTTACTCCAAGCTTTCAAAAACCAGTTGTAGGGCTGTGACAAGACATGTTCAGCACATCTTAATTTCCTTACCTATAAATTGGGCTATAATATTTCCCTTGCATTGCAAAGGGGTAAGTTAATGAAGTTCTTTGAAAATGTGATAATTAAAGTGGGATTTTTTTCCTACTTCTTTATTAGCTTTTATCATCCAATATTTTATTCTAACAGTTTAAAAAATTAAAATACAATGTGCTTTGCAAAAGAATAGTGTTCACTTCCCCTGGTAAAGCAATGAATCTGATTCTGCTAAGTTTCAAAGCTTAGCTGGAAGCATGGAAGCTTGGATAGGTCTGTTTGGATTGGAATTTGGAGGGCTGAGGTCCTTCTACATTTACAAAAACAGTGGCTGCTTTTACTTCCTTCTTAGTCTGTTCCATCTTTACTGATTATAGAACCATAGAATGGTTTGGGTTGGAAGGGACCTTAAAGACCATTTAGTTCCCACTCCCTCGCCATGGGCAGGGACACCTTCCACTAGACCAGGTTGCTCAAAGCCCCATCCAACCTGGCCTTGAACACTGCCAGGGATGGGGCCATCCACAACTTCTCTGGTATGAATGAAGCTTGTTTAGAGATACATTGTATTGAAAAAACCTAAATAACACTTTCATAAAATTGCCAACTTTACAAAAAGCTTTAAATTTAAGAAAGTTGCCCAAATGGTCTCCTCTCAGGAGAAATGTTCAGTGCCTACTTCTCAAAATTAATGATGGAGGACTAAGGAATCCTGTAAAAAAAAAAACAAAACCACAAAACAAAACAAAAAACCCCCAAACTGGTAAAAATTAATAAAATGTCTGATCACTAGCATTTTACTTCCTCTCCATGATGACATTTTAACTACGGGATATTTGTTGTATAAATGAACGTTAATTCCTCCTACTTAGTCTACAAAGTGAGTATAAAAAGAGTGTTGAAATCTACCTCTAGAAAGAGACAGCTGTCACCTTCACGATGGAAGCTGCTCAGGAGGAAGCAGCCATGGGCTAGCTCTAACACACACATCCAGCCCATGGGGTACGTCCACGCTGCATTTATGAAGTGTAGACCTGCCCTGGGACTGAAAGTACCTTCCCTGCCAGTTGAAGAGACCTCTGCTAACATTAAATTAGTTTGCTTTTTTATCAGCCACTGCAGTAGAACTGACCCGGCAGAAGTTAATCAAGCCTTCCAATCATACTGACTACCCACAAGGGGCAAATTTCCAAAACAGACCTCCAAAACAGAGGCTGTCTTTTTTTCAGACTAGATGTTACAATGCCCTAGTGATGTCAGGGCAAAAGGAGTGAAAGCTTCACTCAACTGACTAACGTTACTCTCTTGTTACCCTTTGTCTCCTTCAGAGCCTTCTAGGACAGATGTCTCCTCCTCTCCCCATGCCTATCTAATAAAGTTTAGCGTTGAATGAATGATATTTTATCCAAAAATGGTAATAAAAATTCAGGTGGCAAATGGACAGCAGTTTTTTGCAGCTGTTCTAGTTTTTCCATCACTATCTTAATGTTATTTTCCCTTAGTTATATAAAAATGATCATATGCTCTTGGGGGCTAAACAGGTCAACATAACAGTTTTTACTAAAGTTCAAGGTAGAAGTGGATCGAACCAGTTCAGCTTATTTTATTTGCCAAGAAATCTTCAGAGGTTTGATGGTCTCTAGGTAGAACAGGCATTTTCCTCATTTGTGCTTTGAATCTCTTACAAGGACTGGGTTACATTTTGCTAGGTATTGGACATGACAGAAAATAGAAAGAATAACACTATATTCTCTGAAAAGTGTAACTTCTATAATGGCAACAGCAAAGCTGGAAGAAAGAATTCTGCATCATCACAGTGATGCATACTGAAAATATTCTTTCTCAAAGAGATTCTAGCTTTTTATGCCATCATATGACAATACGGAGTTTCAGGATACAATAAAATACCGAAAGAGGCAACAGCCATTGACTTATACCAGTTGAAGACCTTGTCTAGGATTCTTGCAACAGCCTCAACCTTTATGCTTAGATGTGCTTAGCTCCAGAAGTTGACCACAAAAGCTGTTAGTACCGGTAAAAAGAAAACTTCGGGTGCTACGTAAATGAGTGAAACGTGCATTTCAAGCTAAGCAAGCCTATCTTTTGGCTGAAGCCTTCTTGGTGTTGTACTATTTAAGTTAATCAGTCAAAGAAAGTCAGTCCAGTTAAGGTGCAAAACCAAACCCCTGTTAAAATGGTAAACTTGCTTCAGCAAAAGCCTCTTCCGCAACAAATACCATTCTCCAATATCAGCAGAAAGAATGTGGCAATTCAAGATGCTTTCTGCTAGATGAAAGGGAAAGCTGAGGACAAGAATACATGCTGGTAATAAGTGCTTAGGTGCAGGCTTGATATCTAAGGACTTGGGTGGGTTTGGGTTGTTTTTTCTTTTCTTTTTTTTTTTTCTTTGTTTTTGTTCATAAGTTACGTCATTAAAGAGTAACCCTAGGGAAACACCCTTGATGGAACCTCTGTTTCTTAAGAGCAATGAAATCCATTCCTGATGTGTCAAAGGCATCTAACAGCATAGTGGTGTCTTCTATTGTATTTTTGTTTCTTCTTCACTACAGAGAGTGAGGCTTCTACAATGAGGCTGCATCTGGTAAGCAGTCTGTGAAGAGGGAAATCTCCAGGCATTGCTGAGAGGTCTCAGTGCTGCATAATCACTACCATGATATTTGCTTTGTACACAAAATAAGACATGTCTTTGGAAGCAGCCAAAAATTACCATCATGGATACACATGTTGAGATAAATAAGCTTCTGTTTCACAAGCTAAAATTTTTTCAAAATCTATTTCCCTCAACAAAATCACAGCATGTCATAACCCATCTCTGTCAGAGCACCTGAATTACAGTACAAGCACACAAACCTTTTCTGTGTTTACACAGCCAGAAAGGGCCTTGCATCCTTCATATGCTTTATCCAACACACAAACACTTCCATCTCTTTGAATGCAAGCACCATCCAAATATTGTACCAGAATTTGGGACCACAGCCCTGGCATACCTCTTGGCGCTGTGTCAATATAAGAAATAGCCAGTACTGAAGTCCTGAGCAGAAGTGCCTCCTACCCCTCCTAAAAATGCCAGTACAAGAAAATAAGCAGGTACATTTAATGCACTGTGAATTGAACAGATTTAACCCACAATGGGAGGTATGGTTTAAACATAAACAGAGTCTGCCTAAAAACTGAAGTGGAACTTGCAGACTGCCTGACATGTTCATGTGTTTGTGTAGCTCATGTGTTAATATCGGCTCTGTTTTTTTGATTCCTGTGCATTTAAAACCACAATTTTAATGTCAAAGTACTGGAAGTTCTTTGAAATCCATGCAATTTCCCCACTTAATTTATACTCAAAAATACAAAATTTCACACAGCAGTTTTCAGCATTCCCATCTCTAGGTATTGATCATCAAGCCACAACTTCACTTTCATAGTCATTTACCTTGATAATATGACTTTAAAACTGAACTTTTACTGTCTCTACCTATTAGCTAGCATATTTAGTGTCATTTTATAAGTATGTCTTAGTATCAATAAGGAATTTGAGGATGACTCATTTAATAATCTATATTCATGACTGTGCATCAAAGGTGAGTGACAGGATTAGGCAAAGAAAGCAGACTTTCCATTCCTCACCATCTGTTCTCACACCGACTCCCTGGAGTATGTTCTGAACATATGCTTCCTCACCTCTTAAAGTCAGATAAATCCTAATTAATTTGATTTTCTATAGATTAACATTGCAGAATTGCTAAAGAAGCTCATGAAACCATAGGAAAGATGAAACCAAGTAGCTGAAGTACAGCTGTGTAATCACATTCCAGCAGCCTGCCTCTCTTCCCATACTTTGGAAAGGTTAGAGCTGCCCCCATACCCAGCTCTTGCCCGCAAAAGAAATAACTGCATGCAATATCCAAGGTACAGCTTTACCGTAGTGACATTTTATCAGCTGATAAGTGGTCGAGTGAAGTCACTTGGTACTGCACTTTTATTAGACTTGGTCCTGTTAATCACCACTGTAAATTTAATAATCTTTTCTTCATTAAGACCTAGGGTACATGACCACAGTACTAGTGTCAAAAAAAATCAGAGGCACAGGAATCACATTTCAGCAGACTGAGAACCTTGTGAAGCTCAGAATCCCAAAGTTGGCCATCTTTCCTCTACTTGAACACAGCAGTCTCTTCCCTCTCAGTGACCTCTCTACAATGGAAATCCCCTGGATTCTCACTAGTAGAAAGGCACACAAAATTGGTTCCCAGCCAAACAGACTTAATCCTTCCAACACATGCAGCAAACTTTTTTATGTCCCAATAGCCTATTCTGATTTTAAAGGGACGATTTTCTGAAAAAACAACTCATGGGCTTATAACACATAGGGATGAGTAACAAATATTTCCTTGGCTTACCAGAGCAACACCTTTAGAAGAGATACTGTCACTGCAATATTGTCACTGCTTCTTTCTGATGCCACAGAGATGTCAGGTTGGGGAAGTGAGGAGACCATTGAAAAAGCACTCTATCAATAAACTCAGGAAAACGAGGATGAACAGTTTAATCACCATGTGCAGTGCATCACGCATTTCTTTCATAAATGCATGCACTCAGATATTGCTGTTTGTCAGCTCAACATCAGCTGCTTGTAAGTACATCATTTATCTCTTTGAGTGGCTTGGTGGCAAGGTGTTTCACAAAAGGAAAGTATATGCAGTTGGACAGTGTTTCAAAGCATCAGTCTGGCCCACTTTTCCAGAAAATAACAACCTGCCATACACATATAAACAACAGCTACTAGAAAGAACACAGCAGCACTTTGCTTTTGGCTTCAAAATGGAGAGAAGAAATTGTTACCAATTCACAACTAGGGCTCCTAACACAGACAGCTGCAACAGGGTTTGGGAGGTCATAAGACACCAAGGATCCCAATGAGAACCCCCACACAGAAACAAACCCTTCACAGAGCTCTTCTGCAAGCAGAGCCTTGTCTTTCATAGGCACTGTTAACAAAGCCAGGAGCAAGATGCTTGCTTCTTTAAGAACAAAAGCCCTTGAGGTAGCTGAAGATGCAGCAAGGCAAGCACTCAGGGTTAAGGAGCACGCATATCCTTACTAATAAGAATGAAGGCTATGCAAAATGAAGGGCTTGGCAGATGCTTTCTCCAAAACAGTTTCCTTATGCAAACCATTCCAAGAGGCAAACTCTTTCCTCTACAGCAAGCACCACTGAACTCAGTGTACATATAGGATATCCATCAAAAAGTCTTTCACGGTACTAGGATACAATCCCCTCTAAGAATGAGTGGAGTTCCTGTTATGGAGGGGTGTTTGCTTTGTGTTTATCTTGAATTTTACACTCAAAGCTCTACACTAGCTCTAATCCCTCAAGTACTCCCATCAAATTAAAACTGAGATAAAATGGTGCCTACACACCTTACCTCTTCCAGTATGCCAGAGATGGGGGCAATGGGTAGTGTGGGGGCCCAGGACCTCTTTTGTCTTTCCTAATTCAAGCCCTTGAGTCATGTGAAAATTATGTGCCTGACACTGTTTTTCCTTCCAGAGCCTGCATATCTAAGTTGCACTGGTATTTTATGGCAGTCTAATTATATGCTCAGAAAGTTTCCCATGAAAGAATATCAACATTTTCAGTTAACCACTTCAGGCCATGTAAAATACCATAGCGCAGCAAATCTGTGCTGTGTTAGCTTTCATTGGGTGAGAGATACAGGCACAAAATACACAGGAAGCAGGCAGACAGGAGACTTGGAAGCAGCTGAAAGAGCAACAGATGATCTATGAGACAGATCTTGCCCTGTTTATGACTTCTTCCTCTTCCTGATACGCCTCCACTTGCTCTTTACAGGGCAAAATTTCCTATCATTTTTCTTATCTGCTGATAAAAATGTACACCTCATCTCCCTTCAGCCTAAATAATATTTCCTAGTAATGTAATACAGTTGCAAATAATCAGCAGTTACTACTTCATCTCAGGGATGAACCCCAGAAAAACATGCAAGAAGATTAGGGCAAAAGTTGACACTGATATTCTGAAAGAGACTGTGATAATAGCATTGGGATGGCATTTGCTTTTAATTTTTATTCTGGGATTCAAAAGAATATTCCTCACTTAGAAGGTAAGACATACCATCCAAAATGTACAATTCCCAGTCTACATTTGAAAAAATGGACCAAAATAATTCCTGGTCTATGATGGGTTCAAAGCACTTCAGAAAGCGCTCTGCAAATTTCTATCCATAAACAAGAAGGGAGGAGAGACAGAAAGTAGCCAAACACACTATACATCAAAGAGGAGATGTAAATACAGACATCTGTATTTACAGATGTCAGGCCTTGTGCCTACTGCAGGCTGACAATCTACCAACATTAATATCAACTATCTTGGTTATGAGACTATTTCTAGCTGAGGGGTTAAACCTGGACCAGAGCTCTATCCCTTACACTGCACGAGACATGACTTGGGAAGCACCGGGGAAGAACGGAGGCACTTCCAGCAGCTGCTGGGAGGTGCTAACTCTGGACTCTCCATAGCAAGGTACCTCCACAGACAGCAGAGAAAGCTTGTTCATTTCTAGTCTTCTTTTATAACCTTTAGAAAAGTTACAGTTCTGCTCCCCTCTGCAAAACCCGGAAAGCCTGTGAGCAAGAGCACCGGTACCAGAATCTGGAATAGATTTATTATTTAAAGATGAGAAAAATCAGAAAGTAAGATAAAGGGGAAGTAGGAAATCTCTCAATTGACAGCCAAAATACCAGCGCAAGAGATCCTCGGTAAAATAAACAAAACGGAAAAAGTCTAATCAAGTGCTGCAACTACCAAATTGTTCATATTTGGCACAAGGAGTCACAGAAAATCTAAAGAGAGATATTTGCACATGCTCTTGTCCTGGTTTTGGCTGGGACAGAGTTAATTTTCTTCCTAGTAGCTGGTACAGTGCTGTGTTTTGAATTTAGTATGAGAATAATGTCGATAACACGCTGATGTTTTAGCTGTTGCTAAATAGCGCTTACCCTAAGTCAAGGATTTTTCAGTTTCCCATGCTCTGCAAGTGAGCAGGTGTACGAGAAGCTGGGAGGGAGCATGGCCAGCACAGCTGACCCGAATTAGCCAAAGGGACAGCTCTCCACTCACTTTTGATAGCAGTTGCAACACACCCCTCTCTGCAATTCTAGCTGAAAGAAATTGTCTGTCACTACAGGAGGGTTCCAGGACTCCAGGTCCCTGAAAGTCACGGTGGATTATTGTGGGGCCTCAGTCACATCATGGATTACCAGGAAGTCCCACTTTGTATTTCAAAAGGTGTGTTTGCTCAGATGCAGTGCCGTAAACCTACCCTTGGTAAGTTTACTTCTTTACCTGACTTTCCTCATGGCTTTTTCCATTTTCTAGCTTTGCAATGGGCTTAGGTTTTCTTAGCTTTAAGTTGCCCATTTCAGGCTTCAGAGCGTAGTCAATTACAGCTTGCTGCTTGTGCTGCTGAGTGTCTCGCAAAGGCAGCTGCCTTTCCTCTAAGACAGTAGCGTTGTCCGGATAATTTTCTTTGTTATCATCATCTCTGTAAGAAAATAAAATTGAAATGCATCAGGCAGGACTTCAGACACCTGTCAAAACATTATGAAGGAAGAACAGCAACAAGTTCTTAGCTATTCATGGCATTTTCATTTTACCAAGTTGAGTAGTCTACACATCAAACACTGCATATGTTAGTAACGTGAATCTGAAAGGCTACTGTTTATTGTCAAATCACAAGCTAAACTACGGTTAGTATTATTACACATTCAACTGTGGAGCCATTTAAATAAGACTAGTTTTAGAGGCACTCTTTGGCTTCAGCCCTATAGTTCATATTCCCCAAATAAAATCTGAAACTATCTTTTTCATGCAGAAGACCCTTCCCCATCCAAGGATTCACACTAGGTTATAGCTCACAAAAATGTTGTCACCTACAATAATTCCTCCCTATAGTCACACTTCCCTTCTGACAGTCTCTGGTTTTGAGGGCTTTCGGACAAAGTGAGAGAGGTAGGCATACAAAGTAGGGTTTGAACAGCCAGAGATGTGTTTGGGTGGAAGGGACAAGTATCATGTTCTCTCAGTTTGGAGAAAAGGTCCTCCTGTATAACAGCATATCTGGTGGTTTAAACAGACACTGTTGCTCACGGATGCTCAGTTAACCACTGAACCTGGGACAGATATCTTCAATCTCCACCTAGCCTACAGAGAGCAACCTGTCCTAAGAAGACCTTGCTAGTCTTACGCACGCCCAGTCAATCCAACCTTAGACCAGCCTAATGCCTTCCAACTGGGAGCATCTCCCTGGTACCATTAAGAAAGCTACTGCCATGCCAAATGCAAGGCTGCCTGCTTAGTTGGCAAGATGAGCAGATCAGCATTACTGCTTCAAAATCCTTGGCTGTTGCTTAGTCTGCAGGTGGAATTTCAGATGTTAGCTTCAGCTGGTAAAATCCTAATAGTTAGCTGAGAGAGAACTGCTCTCCTGGTGTGAAACTTCCACAGCTGAGGGAGTCAAGGATTATTGAATTAATCCCCCCTGAGTTTTTTTAGAAAGTGTAACTTGCTGATTCAGCATTTTCTCCTAAGGATTCTGAGCTGCCAAACTCACTTTCCATCTGTGGCCCATCAGCATCCAGATGGATGCTCACAGGATGCCTATGGAGTTAAATACCACTGCTGCCCATGTCTTCTGCAAGCATGCTCCAAGGCAGTTGTTATAGTTACAGGGCAGAGTACTTTATATCCTATGGGCATTTCAACAATGTGCAGAAGTGTTGCTAATTTTAAGGTATCATCTGATTTAAAAATGTTTCTGAAAGGTTAAGTTACATCCTCTAGCAATCAACACATACTAACATAGCCATGAGAGAGACATGCCTCAAGAATACTTCAGTTAAATTACAATTTGAAGGATTTTTTTTCACAGAGACACTCATCAATGAGAGTATCCTTGAACAGTTGCAAAACTCCACTTACTACTACTTTGTACCAGCTGCTGTACAGTAAAATTCAATGTATTATCATCAGAGCTGCATCTGAACGAAAGTAATATGATGTGAATTAAGAACACAGACCATAATATATCTACTCATATAACAACAACAGTAATTAATCTTAATATTGTTTACACAAAAGTATACAAGACAAATATGCATTTCCCAGAGATACTAATAGCCTTAGTAGGTAATACCCCATAAATTCTGCATCCCCTTGAGCATAAAGGTTTCTTTCTAATGGTTTAACAGAAGCACACTGACAGCTTTTTTTGTTGCCAATGGATTTCAGACAAAATTTGTAGTAGAATACCTGGGGCTGGAACTGCCTGCTTGGTCTTCATGTACAGAGTCTGAATCCCCATCACACCTTGAAAATGGATACAAAATAGTTGCTGATTTTCTGCCAGCTGCAGAAATCTAGCTTTTAATAACATGACGGTGCAGCTCAAAGTATAAACACATTTCTCCTTCTTACACCTTAGTTGGGGTCATTTAATGCCATAGCTGCTCCATGATAGTCTAAATCTCAGAGGAGGAAAAGGTTTTGAAGATGTTAAGTGTATGCAATTCGGTATATCATTTTCAGCCAGATGGAAATAATGATGAAAAAGAATTCAGACATTACCATAAAAATTACAGGAAAATTACAAGAAAATCTGTATTTTAATTGCTTATAGTATACTTCACATTAAAAAAAAAAAATTAGAAACTATTAGCTAAGTGTGTTTTTCTCCTAGACTCACAAAAGTATTAACTATAGTAGAGCGGTCATTCTTTGTGCAGCAGGAAAAAGAATCCCCAAATAAATTATAAAGTGATCATTAGTCTTACAAAGTGAACTAGCAGAATTTTTTAAGATGCCTGAAGAATCATAATCAATTACATCCCCTTAAGTTACGAACAACAGAATTGTCATAAGGCTGCCTAATCAAAAGAGAAGTCTGGATAAATATTCTAGAGACTCAGTGTTGAACACTCTATTGTACAGCATGGCTGAACTTGGAGGAATTATATAACTGCAGAGCCTGTGAGCAGTCTTTCTTCAAATAAACATACATATATATGCATGCACTCTTAACAAATATGCATACACCCTTTCTAGGTATTATTTTGGGGGAAAATCGGGGCGCTCTCCTCACCCTCTCCTCACCCTCTGTTCATACTCACAGGGCACAGACACTAAGCAGGCCTGGATCACTTGAAGTCTGCTGGCAGAGGAATCTCTTCATTATGGGGGAAGCAGCCTGTACTTCCGCTGACTTGTTAAATTTTCAGAAGAGCTGCCCCGCTTAGGACAGAGCACATTAAGTGATAAATCCATAGCTCTGCATTGCAATTTGATGGCAAGGTTTTTAATGTATTCCTCTTTCCCACCAGTCTTCTGCTAGTTTCTTTATCAAAAGCCAGACTGCAGCAGAAAATATTTAAAGGGACACTCAAGTGTTTACACTTCCTGAATACATTAGCATATGGATGAAAGCATTTGCTGCTCTCAACTGGAACACACAACTACAGTTGCAGAACCCCCCAGTCACACAATATTCCTGCAATGGGTGCAGTTCTCCCCACAAGGCAAAGTGGGATGACAAATGGAAGACAGGGGTTAATGTATAAAATGGATAAATTCACTGTAGAAGTCTAGTTGCCTCTGCCTCCTGATGCCAGTCTCCTCTGGTCTATCACGAATTACCTTATGGGTGTCTGACACCAGCAAGGAGTGAGGATAGGACATACTGGGAGTATGAAGAAGGAAGCCCAGTATGGAAAACATGATGGAAAATTTCAGAGGGAGAAAAACACAGCAAGGAATTACACTGTGAGGAGACAGTGCCAAGGTCAGAGCTGGATGGACAGAGCTCCCAGCACAGACATGAGATTAAGGTAAGAGGCCACCAGGCATGCTGTGTACCATGGGCCAATCCACAGTCAACAAAGGCCAGGGACCCCCTAAAGGGACAAACTCTCCCTCCTGCGTGTGCCACGGGAAGAGGAGGTAGGAGGAGGCAGCTCTGCTACTGGCTTCACTCACCCCCTCCTCTCACCAGTCACCACACTTGGCAACCTTCAGTCCTGAAAGACCATTTTGGCAACTGGGAACACTCTCTGGAGGAACAATGGATGACTGAGCACAGGTGGTTCATCAGTCAAGTCTATCCCTGCATACTTGTGTGCATACTCCTTAACTTGGGGCAGCACCCTGGGCATTGCTTTCCCTGAGGTGGCTGTAACAAGGTGATCTTGAGAAGTAGAGATCCTAACTTAGCATCCAGCAACTGATAAAAGTCATAAAACAAGACAGAACTTATAAGCAACATAAGTGAGCATGACAAAATGTATTCAAATAACCAGATAGCGGTAAATAGAAAATATAAGCAATCATGAATCAGAGAAGACCATGTCCATCATGTAATAAAAAGATTGTCGGGAAGTTGAGAAGCAACACACTCTGAAATCATTAACATAAATTTTTCTCTTTGTAAGAATAAATATTAACCAAGGAAGCTCACTCACACAAGACAGTGCTTGAGGCTAAGACCATAGCAGGACCTTTAAAAAGACGAATTCATGATATAATGCAAATATCCATCATTAAAGCACAGAATGTTTTTACCTTAGCTTCTTTAAGAAATGCAGCTTGTGTGTTCGTGCCACCTGCCTGCACATATCAACACAGACATGCACACTCCTCTCAGCAGTAACTTGTAAATCTTTTTGTCCAATTTTAGCTGTATTTAGCAGACAGAGGGGTATTCAAGAGTTTGATAAGTTTTGTGATAGCTTGTGTCCACGTAGTAGAGCAAGTTCCCACCAACCCAAAAACTGCAGCAGCACCTCACTCATTCCTAAAACATCAGAGAATACGCCAGAGCAGCTTCAATTCATAAATCCATACGGCTTGAAGCTTACCTTGGGCAGGAAGTATGTCTTTTGCCAAAACCAGTGATGTGAATCCTTTTCCTTCAGTGCCCAATCTAACGACTGACTGATGGATATGTCTCTTAAAAGTTAAGTACATCCTTATGGCATGGGCCAGAATCAGGTCAGAGATGAGGGTCCCAGTCTAGATGGACTGCTGCTCTGACTCTTTATAGTACAGCCTCTTTAGGTTTCTTCAAAGGATCTCTGGTTTAATGGGATTAGTTTTTTTAACTTTCTTCCATTTTCACCTTTCCATAGGAGCCATTTCAGTACAACTTGAAAACTGCTCCCTTTTGTTGACTTGACCTTTAAGATGTTCACATGAACAACTTCTATACCAGGCTGCACGCATGGTTTGCTGGAAGCTTAGCAGCCCTGGGCATTTGCCTTGCCTGGAGAAATGTTCCTGAAAGTATTGTATCACTGATTTTATATCATTCAGGAAGCCCTGATTTTCCCTTTGCTGCAAATAGAGACAGAAATTGTCAAATGAGAATGCCTAAAGTTGCATGGCAAGCTCTCTCTTTATTCTGCAAAATAAAAGTAACCTATTTTCAGATAAGGCCAGCACAAACAACTAGTGCTGAAATCAGTAAGAATTGTGTATCCTCAGCAGTTCTCAAAAACAGGCTTTGGGGGGAGGCTCTAAACAGGATTTAGGGAAACCAACTCTGGAAACCAGGTTTGTTCATTTGGACAATGCTTTTCAGATGTCATTTTTCACTTGCTTTGTTTTCTAAAAGCATGTTTCTACTTCCATGTTGGAAAGATAAGATTAAAAATTAAAGCCCCTGAAACAGAACCAACAACAGCCTAAATGAGGGAGAGTCACCCTTCAGGCAATGCCTGGCCCAGCCCCAGCTCTGCCACGCTGCTGCCTCTCAGCTCGACACAGCACAGCACCGTCTGCACCCCTCTGCCTTTCCCCAGGGGCAACGCTGGCACTACGCAGTCAGCTTTTATGCCATCCTGGCCCTTGTCTTAATAGTCACATGAAGCACCGTAGAGAAAGGCCACCTTCAGGTCCTAGAAACCTTAAGGGTGAGGCAGGCACAGGGGCCGCTCCAGGGGAATCTCTACGGGAAACGATGGATGTACTTAGGAACGGAGAAAAGAGAAGGAGAAGAAAATATGAAAAATGTACTATCTGTTATCTGGTTATTCTTCTGTGAAGGGGAAGCATCCCAGAATTTTACAGACCACAATTCATCACTTAACTAATAGGGACACAGGAAAATAATAAAAAATTACTTAATGATTTATTAGCTTCTGTTAAATCTTCCCATATCTGCCACAATCACACAAAAAGCATGACTAAGTTAAAATATTAAATAAAGCAAGGCAGCGTAAGCAAATAAAGCAAAGCAATGTAAGAGAGGGAAATTACTTGGATCCCTATGAAATGTTACTTTTCCCATAGTGATTTTGACAGCACTTAGGGATGGCTCAGACGATTACAGCTTGGCCTGCTTTCAGAAATGTATCCTGTCCCCACAACACTTAGGCAAACAGCTCACTGGCCAGCTAGGGTTTTTTAAATTATGAGCATTTTAGCAGTGTAAAACTCACCTAATACACAAACAAATCTATAAATCATTTCCTTCCTGAGAAACTGCTTGGCACTTTACTGCTGAAGAATCTTCCTTAAAAGGTTTTGAAACAATTGAAAGCATGCAAAGTAATAGAGAACACCAAAATTGAAGTGTTTTAGACTGAAATAAAAAAAAGACCATTTCATTTGCAATAGTTCCTAAAGCCTTTGCCTTTCTAACTTTCTAATGTTCTCCCTTGTCCTGTTCTGTTGTCTCTGTAAAACAACAACAAAAAAATCAACATATATATCCTTATGTTCATGATATATATGAAAGGCCTTCTAATGAGTTTATGAAATTGATTACAAAGAAATGACGGATTCAGTATTTGTCTAAATAATGTATAGTTATTTTTTTCAAAATATTTGCAAATAATTTTTTTTTCTACTAATGCTTGCAGGAAGTACAGACCATGTGTTCTTAGAAAACTGACATACTTGTGTTTGTCAAGATCATCAGTACCAGAAATGAGCAATATTTTCACAAGAGATTTATCCTACACTGAAAATCATGCATTTAAACATATGTGATGTGCATCAATCATCTATTCTTCCAGAAAGGTATTTCACTGCTAAATGGTCACAGAGCATGTAAAGGCAGCTGTTTCATGCAATCCTTCCTATACAGTCAATAATAGATCACGGAAAACTGAATCAAATATATGACAGATAGCTTGGGACTTCTCACATACTACTTACAATTATTGTCTACCGTAACTAAAGTCATCATTCTTAATTGAAAATAAGGACATCTTTAAAGTGTTCACTTACTCTGCTAAAGCTGTCGTGTTGAAGGAATTATCCTGAATGCTGAAACAGAAACAAGAAAACATCAGATAAGTCAGCAAGGCAGGCAGGCTCCCTGTCTCCTTCTCAGTTGTAGGAACATGCACAAACATGGCATTGCAAGGCAAGTCTCTGTGTGTTAGCTCTACATGCACGACTGTACCTTCGGCTGCTCTGCACATGCTCATAATCAAGAAACCATAGGGATTAGTCCTACAACACCCACAAAGCCCATCCAGCAGCGTTTTGAATTAATACAGGGATGCAGGTAGTCTGTGAGGCTCAGAAAGGGATCTTATTCTTTTATAACCGTAACAGCGCTGCTAATAAAAGCTTAGATTTACAAACAAGTATTTGGCATTCTGTCCTTTAAACGTTTGCTCTATGTAATTGGCTCATCAAACACAGTTGTTTTTATTACTTAAATAGGGTTGCTCAGCTAAGATCTCTGGAGGTTTTTTCTTCTTGCTTAGTGGTCTCTTACACACTCAGCTCATGGCCAAACCCCAGGGGAATCTATGAAAAAATGATCTAGCAGAAAGGACAGTTCAAGTAGCAAAAGGTTATTAAGCTACCAGCAAGCAATAGATGAAACCATTCCTGTGAAAGGAATAGGCTGCTGTGCTCCTGCAACAACATGCTTCAGACCTGAGATAATATATTCAGTAACGGTCAACTCAGGATACCATAAACTGCTGTTTTTGAGGTAGTGGTGGAATTCCCCCTTGAAAAACACCTCTCAAATCCAGTAAATATATTGTTGGATCATCCTGAAATCTTACAGTGGCAGAAAAAGAATTAAAAAAAATTAAAAAATCACACTGCTACATGCCAGAGCTGGGATTTTTTTGTGTGTGTGTTTGGGTGGGGGAGGAGAAGGCAATGCAGACAACAGCATCTTATGAACACTCCTGTTTGTGATAATGGCACCTCGTAGACGACAGCACCAAGCGGAGCAGGGATACAGAGAGGTGCAGCATCCTCCTCCCCGCAGCAGCCTGTGCCGCTGCGTGGTGTTGACACACATTTCCCAGGCAGCAGCAGCCAGGAGCCACAGCCGTGACAATTTCCCTTCTTTCACCAACTGCACTAATAGCGTATCTTATCTTCATCTCTTCCCAGCCTTCCTATCTGCTTGCACACACTATTTTACTCTTTTCATTCCCATATTTGTATATATATGTCAATTTATATAATGGCACAAATTACCTGGGGATCAGAATATCACAGCCAGTCTATAGGGACTTCTGCCCTACAGAGCAGAGGTTTTGTGAGAGAAGGGTGAACGGACAAGCTAAATTTCATGGTTAGCATTTAAATCTTGCCTTAGACCTAAAACTTCAAATTTTTTCTCCTCCTGTTTCCATTTTTTGAGGGTCTGACCATACAAATATAAATTTCATTATTGTTTTTCTTTTTACAGGAGAGCACCTAAACAAAAGGTATGCTTCTGGCTGTTGTGGCAATTAAAAACTCAATTTACGTGTTCAAAAAGTAGCGGGCCATTTAAAAAATCTGCTATTATTATTAATAAATATATTCCAGAATGCTTAAGTGCTTGGCTTTTGATTTTTAATGGCTAGACTAGGTTTACAGCCAGCATTTCAAGTGTGTAACAGAGGAATCACAACTTTTTATCACATAATCACTTTGATAAGCATCACAGCTTGGTTAAAGTAGAGCTGAAAGAGACTGGGTATTTATCCCCATTCCCCCACACACACCCACACAAGAAGAAGAGTGAACACAGAATGCTTTTGTACACATGACTTCTCCATTTCTACGTGCAAAAGTTAAGGTCAAATTCTCTGCTAAGGCATGCCCTGTGCAAATATACTGCAGGGCTTTGTTGTTATTACTAGTAACAGAGTATGATTGAAGTTCAGCTTGTAAAACAGGGACGCTTTGCACTGAGAACAAGTTTAAAACGTCATAGTTTTTCCATTGTTTGAACTTCAGTTCTATACAGCTGTTGCTAAATCTCTTCTAGGCAAGCACTTTACATTTATTTCAGGTCACTCACAAACTTCCATTTGTTTTAAAGATGGTGCTTGACCAGTGTTATTGCACAGTCTCTTCTTGTGAGGTTGTGAAATCATTCAACGAAAAACCAAATTTCATGTAAATCACAATAGTATTAATAAATACATGAAAGTAAAGGCCAGCTAAACCCAGGATGCTGTTTCAGAGCTAATCTCCCAGTTAGATAGATGAAGCCATCATGCGCCTGGGGGAACCTGAGAGAGGAACTACAATAGACTCACAATAACTTTACTTCTCTTCGTTTCCTCCCAGAATAAAGTAATTTCTCTTGAGCAGCAAAAGCTTATTTCACCAATGATGTTGGCTTGGGCCTATCAGCGGACCCCACTCCCTTTCACCTGCTTCCTATTCACGTGCTCTGGGTGAGACCAGAGCAGGCAAAGAGCCCCTGGCCTTACCCCACCTTACAAGGGAGAGCCAAAGATGCTTGAACCTGCATCTCTGTTTCTCCTCTAAGTCCCAGGCCCAGGGAAAACATGATACTGCTGTTACCTCCTTATTTTCAGTAATGATGTTAAAGTCAGTTAGGCCTGCAATGCTATACAACATCACTCTTCAACATACCGAAATTCTCAGTGCCAGATATATTTCATCACCACATTCAGATGACATGTCAGGTCTCCCATCATCCGGAAGTCCCGATGAAAATAATGCTACGCCTGTCTGTGAAGTAAGCTTTGGGCTTCACCACTGAGTAGCAGATATACTTTTAAGGACTTCATATTTTGAAGTCACTAAAATACATCTTTCTGAAATTCTGAAAATAAAGGCTTTTAAATCAGTTTTTCCTTCTTTATGCTGAACAGTTTAAATGATTCATATTTTTTGCAATATCATATCTATGGAAAGACACTTCTCTGTTAAAGAGCTTCCCATTTTACACTCAGGTTTTTTCTTACCCTCTTTTGCCAAATGTTTATCAAGCCAACATAAATATCACATGCAGCTCTCAGTTGACAACAAAAACGTTGGAGAACTCCAAAGAAAACATCCACATATATTTTGGAGATACCAGGATTCAGAACTATGTTACTGTTCACTTCTGAAAATTTGACTAAGACATTGCCTACTTATGGCTGACAAATAGACTGGCATAGAAATTCCATTCTTTATTTGGTTTGTATCATCAAGAGAATTACTGCTAGGTCAGGAGAAAGATTGAAACAGGAATCACTTAGTCCCCAGCTCAGTTTTGCACGTAATAGAGACACATGCCCAATATAAATGATAAGTTCATAAGCCTAGAACAGCATTAGTTGGCACTATAAACATGTATCAGGCAGTTAATGCTTTACAAAGACAGTATGGTCTAGTTGCAGAAGACTGAAAAAGAAGAGAGAGGTAGTGAGACAAAAGTGGGCAGAAGTAGTTCTGGCTTCAGGAGAACAGGAGTGCAACAATCAAGACCAAAAGGCCAGAAAAAAAGGAGGAATAGTGAAGCTTGCCAAGCTACAGTTGTCTAAATGGTCACATACACACACACCCCCCTGCAGACTTTATGGCAGCTTGGTTTCACCTGCAGAACAGAACCTTTGCCTCATTTTCCAGAATTTGCTCATCTCAGTAAATGACTGTGTTCTCTTAAGGGCATTTCTGACTGAAGTAAATAATGAGGCCCTTTCAGCCTTAACTACAGAATAATGAAGAATTTGTATTGGGAAATAAACTGTATGTTTAGAGGGAGAATTACATATTTACAAAGAACTCTAAACTCTCTAAGGTTCTGGGAAAGTTAGTATTTCTGCATTTAATATCTACTATCTAATGACAAATTCAGTGGAATCCTGTAGGGTGTGATTAACATTTATTGCAAGACTATTTTCTTTATTATTAGTTGTTATTCCACAGAGTCCAAAGTGCTTGTGCTGAAATTACTGCATAGAGGCAATTACATTTTGCACTATGGTTAGGCCATACAAGGAAGCTGCACCAGATGCTGTGGGAGACATGAGAGATGCAGTATGACGTGCTGTGTGTGAGGAGGAGCCCAAGGTGATTCCCTCCAGCTCTGGGAAGAAGTTACTCATGTTCCACTACCCAAATAAAAGGAAAGTTGGAATGATCTCCCCCCTACTGCCTCTCTGGATGAAGTCAAGTCATCCCTGCCAGGCCCAGCTGAGCTCAGAGACTCATAAAAATATTGAGCAAATTTGTTTGCCTTGGAGTGTGTGTGTTCCTGCCAAGTAGCAATACCCTGAAGTGCTCCAACGGTCCTTCATCTCCCTCTCAAATTGTACCAACAAGGAGACGCACTCGTTCCTACCTGTATGCATACACAGCATATGCTTTCATGGACAAAATACATTCAACTCCACCAAGGAGCAGATTAAATATGCTTGCTTGTCAGGTCACACTGTTACTCTTGAGGTCACACTTACGACAGAACACTTTTATTTAAGCAGACAACAAACTGAGGGAGTCTGCCTTCAGCAAGTCTGTTCTCTTCTAACACACAGGGCTTTCGTATGGGATAAGAGCAGGGATCATTCTGCAGCAAAATGTTAGCACTGTGGATTGTTCCAGTGCCTTGCCCTTTCTTCAGAAGTGATCCTGCAGGATGCTTTTGCTATTTTCCAATCAGTAAGGCATAAACCAAGGAGCTGCCATGTGAGAAAGAAGTCACATGCCTCTTTTCTGTAGTGATAAATACTGAATGCTACACTCTGCAGCTCAAAATATTCATGTGTTCACTGACTTGCTTTCTTGACGTGCAGTCTGCCTTTTTATGGGTAACATTCTCAGAGACGTCAGGAAACATCTTAAGACAAATTAAAATACAGCAATTACATGTAGAAGCCGGTTGGTGAGCACTCAGTCCAGTTTCTATATCTTTGGTTTTCTCAGTGACCTAATTAGCACATCATCTGAGTGAATGGACCTGGGGGGGGAAAGCATTCAGCTGATCTTCCTGTATGTCTTAAAATGCACAGACAAGCTCACGCAGGAAGAGACTCGAGCTGAGCGTAGGTGCAGACACAGTTGTCATAATCCAATCCAGGGCAAT